AGCAGGAGGTGCACATGTATATAGACTCGAGACAAAAAACCGCAGATGCTAATGACAGCACTTTCTGCCCAAAAGAACACAGGCACTTGTACATAGAGAGTGTTTATAATTCTAGTGTCCTTGATCAGCAGCTGGCCAAACAAGAGGACTCTGCAGAGGCAGAAGAGAACCAAAATTTAAACCAGCAATCTGCACTGTCATACTCAGGAGGAATAGAATCAAACAAGAAAACGCAGGGATCTCCGAGAGCTGCAAAAGTATCCTTTATTTTTGGAGATCACAGTTTGGATGGCATTAACCCCCAAACCCTTGGCTATGAAAGACTATTGGATGAAAGTCCAGAAGCACTGGAAAAGCAGAGAGCTCTTTATATAAGCCATGCCAACGACATCAAGAGTTTGGAGTTGTCCCCTGACGCTGAAAGCATTCAGTTTGCTGCAAATTCCGTTTATGCAGGTTTGAACGATGGCAAAATATTTGGAGCTGCGGAAGGAATAGAGGAGCCCTTGCTGCATGACATTTGCTATGCAGAGAACACAGACGATGCTGAAGATGAGGACGACGTCAGCTGTGAGGAAGACATGATGGTGGGAGAGATCAACAGGCCTGCTCTTCTCAGCCTTTCGGGCTCCAGTGATGACATCATTGACTTGACATCGCTCCCACCTCCGGAAGGGGATGACAATGAAGACGACTTCCTCTTGCATTCTCTGAACATGGCCATTGCGGCTCCACCACCTGGATTCAGGGATAGCTCGGACGAAGAAGACTCTCAGAATCACACAGTGCAGTACGGAGAGGACAAGGAAGAGACTAATAATGCAGGGAGTGATGATATTCCAGTGTCGCTTATTGATGCTGTTCCTACAAATACTGAAGGGAAATCTGAAAAGGGTCTGGATGATGCTGTGGTTTCTACTCTTCAAGCACTGGAGGCCTTGGCTGCTTCAGAGGAACAACAGACGAATGACAACTCAGGTTCTTACACCACTGTTACGTTTATTCACTGAAACAAACCATACCATTTCATCCATTTTCACCATTTAGCCTTTTCATCATTAGCCCATTTTTTTGGAAACATTTCATTATTATTTTTCGTTTTTGTTTTTCCTCCATCACCTACACATACCATGTGATAGAGCTACCATAATGTTAAGTTGCCTTTCTTGGAAACTATGCAATATGTGAATCAGTATGCTAGAACCATTTTTTAGAAAACTTAAAACAATCCATATTTTTTCCCCTTATCGGTATATTGAAGTGCCTGACGTGATTTCATTAACTGGCTCTTATTTTTTACGGCATGCAGGTGTAGCCATCTTGAGAGCATATAGCCCCGAATCATCCTCAGATTCTGGCAATGAGACTAACTCTTCCGAAATGACTGAAACTTCTGAATTGGCCACAGCACAGAAACTGTCTGAAAACGCCACGCGCCTGTTTTTGCCCACTAACGAAGGTTATCAGCCGCTTGTGGAGCAGCAAGGTGAGTTCTCTATCACCAAGAGCCAGGCAGGAGGGCTGCTGCTGAAATCCGTACAGTCCTCAGCCAATCAGCAAGTTGCAGAGCTACAGTCAAAAGTTGTGCCTTCCAAGCAGATTCTCCATTCAGACAACATGGAGATGGAACCGGAAACCATGGAAACAAAGTCTGTTACTGAATATTTCAGCAAGCTGCACATGGGGTCCGTGATATATTCTTGCACTACGAAACGGAAAAATAAGGTGGCCGAAGGGGAAGGGAAAGCAACCCCTGATGGCAATGTTGTTATGAAAAAACAGCCGGGGGCTAAAAAGACAGAAGCCGATGAGCAAAAGGGCAAAGTCAGCACTCTCTCCTCAAGAGAGAGTCAGCGCATAAGCACTTTTAATGTGGAAAGAACTGCCTTTCGCAAGGATGGCCAAAGAAGGTATGCTGCTTTGGATGAGGGAGCGGCAGAGAAGCCAAATTCAGAAACGGTGAACGGAAAGGCAGTTCCGAGAGTTTCAAGCCTTGGGAAAACAGAGGTGGACTGTAAAGAGGAAATGCACCCTGAGATAAGCCCTAGTGGGGCTTTAGGGCATGGGCCAGATGAACATTTTGTTTCAGATGTGACTACTCTCTCTTCGCCCAAGGAGCGCAATGACTCCGAAGATGCTAATTCACCTGCCGATGGCCACCTCCCAAAGCTTCCGGAAGCAGAGCAGAGCATGACTAGATTGTGTGAGTATCACCTAGCTAAGCGCATGTCATCCCTGCAGAGCGAAGGCCACTTTTCTCTGCAAAGCTCGCAGTGCTCCTCAGTGGATGCAGGGTGCAGTACAGGCAGCAGCACGTGCGGAACCCCGGTCGAATCTCCTCTTTGCACCTCGGACGCGAAGCACATTCTCCCTGACTCGGCAGGAAAGGGCCTCAGCTACATTATTCCGGCAGACGAAAGAGCCGCCATGCTCTCCAGCCACGGAGCAACATACAAGGAGCTGCACCAGCAGCCTGAAACTGTGTGCCACAGAATGGCAGTGCCTGTTATGCATCCCACAGTCAATTCCGCTGACCCACTCTTCGGCACGTTGAGAGATGGATGTCACAGGATCCCCAAGATTAAAGAAACTACAGGTACGGCAGCACCAAAGTGTTAATCTGAATGTGTGTAAGAGACATGGGCAGCATTTTTTAAACCGTTAAAATAAAATAAAAAATGAAGTGACTGTCCAGAGCACACACAGCCCAAGAAGGGCAAACAGCCAGCACAAACTTAACAGTAGCTCCTGAAGCACACTAAACATGCACACACATGCTCCTGGTAGCTAGGTAGCTGGCACCCCTTTGCAGGCTTGCGCTCTGAGTTGGAGCAATGATGGGACCATGCCTGCATGCAAACGTAAGTACCTTTGTCTGATGGCAAGAGCACAAGCAACCTGCGACTTCTCCTCCTCGGAAATGTCACTGTGTCTGCCTTTTTAAGGCCCTCCTGGTCCTGGGGGACAGCAGGGGAGAGGATTCTGCTAGCCCCCTCCCTTCAGGCGCCATCTCTCCATCCACTTCTGACATGTCCTGTCCTTCCTCCCCCATCTCTGACTGCTCAGACCCTTCCCCATCTTCCATCTCTGGCTCCTGCCTCATGGGGGGCACAACATCCCATAAATCATTACCCCTTTATAATAATAATAATAATTTTATTATTGATATCCCACCCTGACTAAGTTGCTCTAGCCACTCTGAGTGGTTTCCAACACATACAAAAACATAATAAAACATCAAACATTAAAAACTTCTCAATACAGGGCTGCTTTCAGGTGTCATCTAAAAGTTGTGCAATTCTTTTTCTCCTTGACATCTGAAGGGAGGGTGTTCCACAGGGAGGGTGCCACTACTAAGAAGGCCCTCTGCCTGGTTCCCTGTAACTTCACTTCTAGCAATGAGAGAAACACCAGAACACCCTCGGAGCTGGACCTCAGTGTCCAGGATAAACAATGGGGTGGAGATGCTCCTTCAGGTATATATAGGGCTCCTGGATCAACCTCTGGCCCCGCTATCTCTCTCCCCCCCCCCCACTCCTCAGAGCCCTGACAGTACTTCAAGTGTTAAGAGTGTGGCCTTAGCATGGTTTCACACAGTCGCTACTCTAGAAATCCCACCTGTACAGTGGAGTGTAGACTTTGTGCATATCTGCTTTGGGCCACATGCACATTTGTCTGATTTCCTCAGAAGTGGGGGATCAAGCCCCACAAATAAAAAAATCAAACTCTTCAGAAGAATATTTTGAATTGGAAATACTGAAATGAGAGGCTGTAGCAGGAACCCAGAGACCAACTGAAGGGAGGTTGAGGTACCAGTTAGACCTGGCCGACCGTGGGTAGGGAAAGCAAAGCAAGATAGGGAGGAAGAAGGCAAAAGTGTGCCGGCAGGCAGTATTAACAAGCCTCTAACTCTGCAATCCTGCACATGCCTACTCAGAATTAACCCCATTGAGCAGAATTGGATTCACTCCTAGGTGAGTGTGTATAGGATTGCAGAAGCTCCCGTTCAGGTCTATTAGAGCCACAAAGCTTTTTTTATTATTTGGCAATGTTCTTTCCTTGCAGTTCCTTCCTCTATTGGCCAGAGCTGGAGATGTTACGGCATTGATTAAGTCCTGCCTGAAACCCAAACCATGTCATGCATGCCGTTTGGTGTTTTTTCTCCTGAAAGTTTGCTTTTTCCTTAAAGGCTTCATCTGCATCATACATTTATGCCACTTTAAAAACCATAGCTCCCCCCCCCTTCCTGAGAATCCTGGAAAGTATGATTTGCTAAGGGTGCTGAGAGTTGTTAGGAAACCCCTATTTCTCCTCATGGAGCTGCAGTTCCCAGCTGGTTTCACAATCAATCCTTCTTCACATGAAACTCCTGGAATTGTAGTTCTGAGAATGGAGCAAGACATTGAATGAACAGAGTAATGTGTATGCTGATTCCTAAAGTCAGGGGGCGGGGGTCATCCTTCAAGCAGAGGAAAGGACAAAACCAACAGCTAAACAAGCATTCAATTCGTCACTCTTATGACAAGTGCACTTCAAACTGTGAGGCAGCTTCACAGCTGAGGTGGTACGTTTTCTCTTTTTACACCATAGACTAATCTATACTGGTGAGTTAAAACATTATAAATGAGTTCTAAAAATGTACAGCAGTAAATGGAAAATTGCATTGAGAGCTATAGTGGTAACTCAGTTTTTGAACGTAATCTGTTCCGGAAGACCATTTGAGTTCTGAAATGTCCGAAAACTCAATAGCCAACAGCTAGGCCTCAGGATCTTGCACTCAGCGGAAGCCGCATGGCATGTTCAACTTCCGAGGCGTGTTCGAAAACCGAAGCATTTACTTCTGGGTTTACTTCATTCAGAAACTGAAATGTTTGTCAACAGAGACGTTCGAAAACCGAGGTACCACTGTATATAACTTTTTTCTTAGCTTTTTTTAAGATCAGTGTAGATCCAGCCTATATCTGTCGTCTTCATCAGAGTTAACTAATAACATATGGAAGGAACTGTTAGCTCAGTTGTTTAGGGCATGGTGCTGATAGCACCAAGGTTGCAGGTTCAATCCCTGTATGGGGCAGCGGCATATTCCTGCACTGCAGGGCGTTAAATTAGATGATCCTAAGGGTCCCTTCCAACTCTACAATTCTATAATTCTATGACTGATGTAAATATCTTTTTTTTAATTTTTGTTTTGATGAACTGCACATCTCCTGAAAGATTTGTGATTGCATGTGGGGTCTGAAAAATGTGTATTCGGAATATTAAACCTTTCCTTTTTAAAATTTCCAAAGCAACAGTTAAGACTATACGTTTGAAATGCTTGGCCACTAAATGGCTTTTTGAGGCGATGCTTAATTATTCCCTTTGTTCTTCTACTCCCCCTAGTGTAGCTTTCACAGAGCCTGTGACTGGAAGACAAGGAAGCATGTCTTCAGCTTTTCCTAACCAGCCCAGACCTGATTCCATCACGCTATCATCCCACATTCACTCAGAATCAAAGGTGCCAAGTCGAAACCAAGACTCTTTTGATGTTCCCAAAGTCAACCAGTCAGGTGGGGTAGCGGTTAGTTTATGGCCATATGAGATGATGGGGGGAAGCCTCAAGATGCCGCACAACAGGAAAGTTCTGCGACGAAGCAGCAGCGTCACTGCAGAATCGACAAGCCTCGAGACGTTTCTCGGGAAGAAGAAAGCCCCAGTCAGTGTGTTATGTACAGACATCGCTGAAGCAGGTGGCTCAACAAAATCGGAAAAAAGAGGAGAACTTCCTCTGGGCAAAACGTTATCAAAAAGTTATTCCCAGAGCTCTGTGAATGTCAGCAGCGTGGGCAGCAAGAGATCTCCTGTCTTGAACGCCATCCGGAAGGAGTCCAAGCAGTACAGAACGTTGCCCTTACGAAAGCTGGATGCCAGCAATTGGAAGTGCCGCGGCCCCTTTAGTTACTGTTTCCTAGCGAGAGGAAATGCCGAAGAGGACGAGGATGAAGATGAACACAGAGGTGGCGCCCGGCTCTCGTTCCTCTATCGTCCCGAGATACAGTGCCAGGTAGCAGAACTGTCCCCTCGGCCTCCTTCCATTGAAAGTGAGGAGAATGGGAAGGAGGGCACAAAGACTGGCAGCGATGCCGAAAGCAGCCCAAGCAGCAAGAGCACTCGCGGAGACCAGGATGGTCAAACCAATAGGAATCTCAGCGACATGTCCTTCGATGCACGAATAGCGAGACTCGGCATAATGAAGGAGAAGAATTATGCAGTGCCTGATGGATTTCTTGCAGCACAAAAAGATGCCAATGAGCTCCTCTGTTTGGTCCGATCGTGTATGGGGAAGAGGGAGGATCATTCAGAAGCATATGACCTTAAACTTTCTCAGTATAAACAACTGTTATCTGTAGAATCGAGACAGTTGGGAAGTGCCTGCAGGAAAATGGCCATGGCTGAAAAAAGCCCAGAGGAAATGCTTGTAGCTATGACTTCCAGCTTTCAAGTACTCTGTTGCTTAACAGAAGCCTGCATGCGTTTAGTTAAAATCATGAACTCTGAAACACAGCAGGAGGAAATTGTAGCTAAAATAGATGAGGTTGTAATAAACTACATTTGTCTTCTAAAAGCTGCGGAAGCAGTGTCTGGTAAGACCTCCGGTAACTCTAGCATTAAACTCTTGGCTCGTAATTCGACCACCATGGCCACTATCGTAAGCACACTAACACGTTCTCTTAAAATGCTTTTAAATAAATAAACAGAAGTCACTTCATAATCTACCTTTGCAAAGCCATACATTAAAAAAACCTTTTATTTACTTGTACGTGTATGAAATAATGTTTAAAACAAACAAACCTTGACGCTCTCTCTGTATATTTTGTTATTTTATATAAAATAGGTATGAGATTTAAAAAACAACAACAACTATGGGACTTCTGACCAGTTCTATCCTCCTCTTTCTTTCTTTCTTTCTTTCTTTCTTTCTTTCTTTCTTTTTGAAGGATAAACTATATAAAAGCATTTGGAAGTTTGACTTTTTCCATAGTCAAATCTACAGGTGTTTGTTCTTAATTTCTTAAGACTGTAATGCTAGAGGATTTACTTCCTTTCCCCCTCCAGGTTTATACTTGGGAACTATACTGTTCATGGTTAGAACTAAGAAATTGAATCATAATGTATATAACAGTATTTAATGTTTGAATTATAATTTTTAAAGCATTGAATATAGCAAAAATACATTTTAAAACCCAGAGACTATTGTGACTGAATAGAGATTATATATATATAAAAATATATATATACATATGTGTATATATATGCGCATAATAAATTACTCTTTTGTTCATACTGCTTGCTTGATGCATCTGTTACATTGGTAGTTTATTTCTGTGCCACTGCTCAATCAAAAAGGCCTGCAGGACTGCTCCCAAATGTTTAACGCAAATACAAGATTCAAACATGTAAATGCAGCTTATGACATTCGGGGGGGAGAGATGTTTACTCCCCTTAAGTTACATTCCAGACAGCAGCTTTTTTTATAAAGTTCCCTGTAAAAGAGGCTGGTTTAGAACAGGTAGAAAAGCTTGCCCCACTGTCTCTCCACACACACCCTCCCTGGTAGCAATTCCTCCTATGAAAATAAAGGGCAGCTTGGCTTTATATTATATCCACATCTACATGCAGCTTCTCACTGAGTCTTTTTTCAACACTGGCTTGAAGCACTTGCTCAAAGTTCTTTTGGTTAGTCTGCCATGTCAAGATGGTGTGTCACGAAAGCTGGTGTGTGGGGAACACTTTCATTTGAATCCCAAGAGGATCTAAGACACCCAACCCTTTGAAAACAGAATCAAAAGCAATCTTGCCACAGGTAGCTCTGTGCATTACATGAAATAACTTCCTGGACAGTTTGAACAGAGTGACTTGAGTTCTATATATCGGCTTTTTAAGGCATCTCCTAGTCTTCTTACTCCTTTGTATCATCTTCTGTTACTTTATGCACTTAGTGATTTGTGGTGTTTTCCTGCTCTGCTCTTTGCTCAAATAGGTCAATATTTGAGCTTTGAAAGGATGTCATATAACCAACTTGTAATTTCCTGGCCCATCAGTTTTCCTATGAACATTTCAGACTTGTAGTAATCAGTGATTACCTATAAAGCTTGGGAACATATCAGTGTACATGAAGGGAAACCTTTGGTCCTCCAATCATTGCTAGACTACAACTTCCATCAGCCTGACAATTGTCCATGTTGGCTCAGGCTGATGGAAGTTGGAGTCTAACAACAATATCTGAAGTACCACACATCTCCCCATCTCAGATCTAAACAATATTCAGAACAATATGGTGCGTATCTCTAGCTCACGAAGAACAAGTAATGCAGCAAAGTATTAATCAACGACAATATGATTGCATTCTTCATTTATTTTATCCATTTTAGCTTGGTAAATCTGGACCATTTCCAGCATTAACTGAAGTGCCTACTTAAACTGGTTCTCTCATACAAATGGTCTTTTCTCTCTCCATAGGATGCTAGTAAACTACGGTGTGTACCATGTGGAGTGTACATACTCATGTGCTTAATACTGGTGAGAAGAGAGGATGAGAGCACATTGCTGCACAGAAACATCTGCAGTTATTCCAGCTGATCCCAGAACATACGCAGCAGAGACTGTGTCAACACAGTTATCTGAGGAACAAATGAGATATTTATTGAGAAGACTTAGTTTTTTGACTAAAGGCTATTTGTGCCCTTTGGGTACATGCCAGACACTGTTTTCAAGCGTTTCTCAACAGCTAGAATCTGTCTTCAAGATTTTAGGCTTCTCAGGCTAACATCTAAGATACGACTGCTCAACTTTTAGTCACCAGCCTTCCACATCAATCTTGCTTGTGTTTTCCCATGTAGGAATTTCCCAAAGACTTAGTCAACTGCATTTCATTGAACATTCATGACTAAAAGCTCTAGTACCATTAAATCATGCTTTAATATAAAAAGGAATAGGATGCCTTCCATTTTGTGCAAATTTTGTTTTCAAATTAAGCCTATAAATGTACATTATGTCAAACTAACAATCCCCAAAAGTCCATAATTAATATGGCTGCTGTGCATGTGTGTGGCTGCAGGGTGAGGGCTTATCCCAGAGATGCTGATTAGCTTAAAGATACCTAGGCCATACCCATAGTTGATCAATTGATATTTATGGGCCCAATCATGTTGCTTCAAGGGAAAGAATATGTATAAAATAAGAATTCCTAGATTGCCAAGATCCAAGTTTGGGGCAAGTACTACAATATTTTACAATTAGGTTGTCTGTCAGTGTGCTTTTTACTATGTTTTTATTATATTTTATTATGTTTTTTCCTGCCAACCTAGCAGTTCGAAAGCACGTCAAAGCACAAGTAGATAAATAGGTACCGCTCCGGCAGAAGGTAAACGGCGTTTCCTTGTGCTGCTCTGGTTCGTCAGAAGCAGCTTAGTCATGCTGGCCACATGACCCGGAAGCTGTATGCCGGCTCCCTCGGCCAATAAAGCGAGATGAGCGCCGCAACCACAGAGTCAGTTACGACTGGGCCTAATGGTCAGGGGTCCCTTTACCTTTACCTATTATGTTTTGTAATATGTTTCTAATGTTGTACACCGCCCTGAGATCTTTTCATTAAGGGCAGTATTTACAGACGTACCTCAGAAGTCGAACAGAATCTGTTCCGGAAGTCTGTCCAACTTCTGAAAAGTTCAGAAACCAAGGTGCAGCTTCTGATTGGTTCCCAATTGTACAGGCGTGCCGGAAACAATAGCAGAAGCTGTGCCAGACATTTGGCTTCCATTTTTTTTTTAAAAAAACTGGAACACTCACTTCCGGTTTTTGATTGTTTGGGAGCGGGAACGTTTGACTCCCAAGGCGTTCAGGAGCCAAGGTATGACTGTGCATTGAATTAATAATACTAATTAGTGAGAGAACCCCTGCAGAGATTTTAAATCACAAAATATGCAGCAGAGTGTGGAAATATAGGCTGTTAGACCTTTAAAATATGCCCTTGTGAGTTACAAAACTCCCCTCTTCTCCTAGGACAGAAAAAGACCACACGTTTGTTAAGTTAAAAACAGTTTACTTACAAACTCTCCAAAGGTGTGATTCATGTGCTTTTCCATACAGCATTCGGAAAAGGGTGCACAGACAGTAAAACTTGGCTTAGTTACAGTGGTGAAAGTTCCTAAATTATTGGTATAGGAATTCAGGAGTGGCTGGTGAGAGCCATGTGGCCCTCTTCACATGCTGAGCTTCTCAGGGAGACTGGAGAGTGAACAAAGGCTTGAACCTAGTCCCTTCCAAGGTGAGCTAAGCCTGGCAGGACAGCTGACTGTATGGTGTTAGTCCCTTTATGCATTAATTAGGCTTAAGCATGTTTGTTATATGAGGCCGGTTATCCCACAATCTAGTCTTCAAATAACTTTATCAGGCCCCTAAAGTCTACCAGAATTCTATACCCAGAGAGGGCTCTAATCTTTTATTGCTGCAGTGTCTCCTATTAAGCTTTATGGCTGAGTGGAGTAATGGCCGGGCTAGAAGCCATTATTACACTAATACAGAGCCTGACAGCCCATGAAGAAGTTGGCATATCCCACATTTCTTTGGCTCCCTAGACAATGTTTGGGGAATTGAGTGGCCCCTGAGATGTCCATTTCTGACTTAGCCTAACTCTTGGACCTAATAACCTGAACTCTGTAGCTTGAGGTGGAACCAAACAGATAAAAACATCATAGCATATTTTCCAGTCACTATTCAAGACAAAGCTATGGTCTGCAGCATCACATTTGCACCTTCAAGCCAATCTCACTGGTTGTGGTCCAACTATGTGTACGTATAACCCAATCAGATAACTTACCACTGTGTGTCGATCAGCAGTTTGTCGGGAAGCAGAGAGCGAGGAAGACAGAATCCCAGCCCCTCTTCCTCCCAAACAGCTGACTTGCACAACTGATGATGTATTTCATAGTTCCAGCTTTTGAATCAGCCTAGGATACTCATTTCAATGTACAGTTCCATGTACAGAAACCTGCTTCCACGCAGATGGCCTCTGGAGGGATCACGACAATTATATGGAAGAGGTCTCATTCACATCAAAATACCTCTGCTAAAGATGGCAACCCAAGAATACAAGCGTTTAACAAAGGTATGTTTTATTTAAAAGCTGCAGTTTACCAAACATGATGGTTGTGAGTGGAAGAGGAGATTAAAGCGTTAATTCTTTCCATATGAACCTATCCGGACCCTGAGAGCATCTTCTGAGGCCCTTCTTCAGGTGTTTCCTCCATGAGAGGTCCAGAGGGTGGCAACACGAGAATGGGCCTTTTCTGCAGTGGCTCCCCATTTGTGGAATGTTCTCCCCAAAGAGGTTCACCTTCATTATACAGTTTTAGGCACCAGGCAAACACATTCCTCTTTAACCAGGCCTTTGGCTGATTGACATCCAATGCCCTTTCATAAGGTGTTGCGGAGGGAAGGGGGTTATTAGGTTGTTTTTGTTTTTATTATGTATTTTGTGTTTTTTATATTGTGACTTTATGTTGTAACCTCCCTGGAAATATAGGGCAGTATACAAATTTAATAAATAATAAATACAACTTCTAATGTTGGGAGCCAGAGTCCACCGGGTCCCCATACCCCTTTTCTAGCGCAGTGCAATGGTGGAAATGATGCTAAAGGGAGACTCTTGGGAGTCTTCTTTAAGAAGCAACTCCAGGGAGACTACCATAGCATCTGGGGGAGAAATTGGAAAAGAACCTGCTCTGTTAAATGAGCCAATATCAATTAGAGTTTCCTCTGCTGCTGGTCTAGCCACTGTTGCGGACAGTAAAACACCTACTTGCAGATGAAAGAGTCCTTCTGCCTGGCCCAACAGAGCCAGCGCTCTGTGGACCAATCTGGAAGAATGTGTTTTCGGGTCAAAATATATTTGCTCAGTTCCCATGCTGCACAGTAGATCTTCCTGGCAGGCAGTGCTCATATTTTGTGTGTGGAAATCTGATCCCAACTATGGACAAATATGGGTGCTCTGATATGGAGCTGTGCAAGAGCAAAATCTATCTCTTTTTTGCACAACACTCGTGTACTGTTTCCCTATACTGTGAAATACCCAAACAGACCACTGTGTAGCATTGAATTAATATGCTTTGGAACTCATTAAATCAGGGAAGGAGCTCCTGGGGGCATCCCAGATGTTGCTGGACAATTTATTCATTTATGAAATGTACGTCTCACTCTTCCTCCCAATTCCACTTTCCATCATCTCTGACCATTGGCCATGCTAGCTGGGGCTGATGGAAGCTGGGGGTGGGGAGGATAGCATCTGGAGAACCACAGAACCACCCCTTCCTTAAACCTTTTGGATTGGGAGATGAGTCTAACATCATGTAGATGCTTTCTTAGAAAGTAGCCCCATAGATTTAAAGGAAGCTAGATATAGATATACGGATACGGGTGGCGCTGTGGTCTAACCCACAGAGCCTAGGGCTTGCCAATCAGAAGGTCGGCGGTTCGAATCCCCGCAATGGGGTGAGCTCTCATTGATCGGTCCCTGCTCCTACCAACCTAGCAGTTCGAAAGCACGTCAAAGTGCAAGTAGATAAATAGGTACCGCTCCGGCGGGAAGGTAAATGGCGTTTCTGTGTGCTGCTCTGGTTCGCCAGAAGTGGCTTAGTCATGCTGGCCACATGACCTGGAAGCTGTCTGCAGACAAACGCCAGCTCCCTCGGCCTATAGAGTGAGATGAGTGCGCAACCCCAGAGTCATCCATGACTGGACCTAACAATCAGGGGTATCTTTACCTTTAGATATAGATATAGGTATACACACACATTTTACTTTCAAAGCCTTCAGCAGTTCTATCATACTGACAATTTGAATAAATGGAGAGCTAATTCATACTTCAGGTTTGTTAGCACACTATGCAGAACTCATTTAACACAAATCATTTAAAGATCATGTTATAGCCTTACTCTGAAAGCTTAATACACATTCAGGCTTCGGGTCTTCCATGAAGGAAATGACAGCAATAATAATAAAGAAATGATTCCATTGTACAGATGTGGCAGTTTTCACGCAGTTATGAGCACAAGTGCTTATTTATCTAATCACGCATAACGCATTAAGATAAACACTAAGAGCTAGATAAATTGTTTCTTATGAAAATACTTTTATTATAGATTTCTGTCCGTCCGTAAATAAGAGAGAATGTTGGCTCAATTCTTTTTAAAACGAAAAAGGGAAAAAAGATGAATTATACACAGTCCTGATATACCTGATATATCAATATAAACATTGTTTAGTTTCTTTAAAAGTGCAGAGGCTCAGGCTTGCTTGGAAGTTGCATGTCACATGCCAGTTGTGGCAACCCTCAGCATTCTTACCATAAAATAAGTCCTAGTGGCACATGCTTCTAGGGATTGAATTGCTAATTAAACTGCCCAGTTATGCTGTGGGAATGCTTGGAGTCAAATACATTAATTGGAATGCCTTTGATGCACCTATTGGCACAGCACCAGCCTTCTGTGGTCCTCATTTCCCCTGTGCATTTTACTCTTACCCGTGAGATCAGCCTGACTAACCACCTGCACATTGCTATGTCGTCTCTCCTGAGAGAACCTGACAGCAGAGAAGTACTGGCGAGCATCTGATCCTTTCCCTGGCTAAATGCACATCCCCTGAAGCACTGTCTCAAGGTAATTGCTTCCTAGTCTAATATTAGAGCCACTTTCCAGGGGCGGGGGGGGGGGGGAGAGGATGCTGATACCAGTTTTTCATATCCAGTTGTAAAGCACGCTTGTCTGACCCACATCACGATGCATCAGACATGGTTAGTGGGATAATGAGAAATGGAGGTGCTTGAGAATTTTGGGGGAAAGCTTGTTGGGTTATCCTGCCATTTGTTGTGATGAAAAGAGGAAACCTTGACATGTAAAATTTACTCCTTCCCTGCTTTTTCCATGATGGGAGGCAGAAGAGACAGCCTCTGAGAGAGTGCCGCAGGGATTTACAAGGTTGTAATGCTTCTTTAAACACCTAGCTCCTGCTTGTGTTGTGTTGTGTTGGCATTCAGTCTGAGAGCGTATTTGCTGCTAATGTTATGAGAACTGGAACTGGATGGAGCTCCAGCTGCTTTAAGATTCACACCCAACCAGTGGTAATTGGCATTCAATTACTGTGGCGAATCCAACAGTAATTTGCAGTCCTTTCACCTGGGATGATTGAGATGGTAGAACAACTTCTGGCAGTAACAGTGGAGGCAGTTCACTAGCATGTTTGTTTCCCATCCAAGACAGTAACCTCTGTTTTTCATGAGAATACAGGATAACCACAGTGTTTCAAATGCAGGTGTAAGACCAGTAGGAAACAACAGTAGCTTAAACCCTCTGAAGGGATGGTACGAACAGTACAGATATCAAGTATCAGGATCAATTTTGTATTAGCAGCTACTTATATAAAGTAAAGTATATATGTCAAGTAAAATGAAATGTGCAAGTGCAGTCATCTCCTAAAAGAATATTATTTTATACAATACAATGGCAGTGACTCACGGTTTTCCACATAAAGACAGAATTGTTATACTAGCAAAAATGTGTGTGTGTCCCCCTCACAACACATGAATGATGGTTAATGTAGAGGGTGGACATTCAGTAGGCAGGTGGTGGCGGAGCTTAACATCTACTGCTGTTTCTCCCTTGCAAATATATCCAAGGCCATTTCCTGGCTCCTTCTGAAAGAAAATCAATTTGGAGTTTTGTAAGCATTTATGCTGGGCACAGGCTCTGCTGCATCACTTGCTTTATGCTTGTCCCTTGCTGGCAAAAGCTAACAGCTAAAGGGCCTGACTTCCAAGATCAGCCTAGTCTATACCCTCAGTGGAGCCCATCTCCCCACACCTAATGCACAGCCATAGCTGAGGGGTGGGTCTAGACAGGGTTTCTGCCTCAGGTGAAGCCTCCAGAGAGGTGCCATTGAGACTCCCAGCCATCCAGCATGTCTGGGCTTCAGCCAGAGAGAAATATGAAAAAGTGAACGGCAGCTGTGAGCTCCTCCTTCCTCTTTCCCCATGAAGCTGAAGGAGGCTCATTTACGAAGCAGAAGATAGGAACCCCTATCATTCTTCATTCGGCACAAGTCCTTAATCCAGTCTTAGCTCTAAAGCGAGGGTTTGGGTATCCGTGGCATGCCAAATGTTGCTGGGACCACAACTCGTATCATTCATCAGCATTGGCCATGCTGGCTGGAGCTGATGAGAGTTGGGAATCCAACAATATCTGGTGGACCACACCGTACTCTAAATAACAATAGGAAAATAATATAACCCCACAATAGACACATTTTGATTACTTCCTGGCAAAGATTTTAAGCAGAACTTTTGAGAGAGAAAAGAGAGAACGCTATCCAAAATTTTTGTTTTCTATTTAATTCACTTTCACACAATTGGCTATAATAGAGATGTTTTTAAAACCCACTTATTGAAATGTTGTGAATTCATCCATGCATTAGTTTACAAGCACGAGGTTCTCTCTTACAATACAAGTTTTGAAACTTTCCAGAAAAAAAATTCACATGATAAGCATAAGACTCTCAGCAGGCGACAGGAAAGAAAGGCCCAACAGAGGAGGATCAACTCCCTGACATCCATTCATCTAATCATTTTGGGGAGTTTCTGGTTTCAGAAGCTGTTGTTAATGCACATCTAGTCATTTGCTCTGCAAAATTACGATGAAACATGCAGGAAATTGAACATGCAGTTCAGTTGTGTCTGTAACATTTCCCCCTTTTCCCCCAAAGCAATTGTTAGTCCTGGCATGAGATGGATAAAAAACGTAGTTTTTGCCTATTATATATTTATATTTTCTCTTAGTCTATTTTTTATTGATTCCTTTTGAAACATATTTGCTAGCTAACATGAAATGTGACCACAATTCTGGTTAAGGCTGCAATCCTAAGGAAACTTGGTAAGAAGTAGGTCCCATTAAATTCAGTGGGGCTTTTTTCTGAATAGACAAATATAGGCTTGCAGTGTAAAGTTACAACTGTATGCATACTTTTGTATGCATGTGATGTGGCTGCAGGTCAGCAGTAGAAGGCAAGGTATATCCCAGAAGAATTGTCTTGTGCTCTGCCCAAGTTTGCAGCACCCAGTTTGTAACATAACAATGGGGAGGTGGGCCCATAGCTCAGTGGCATAGCACATAAGCCCTACTGGATCCGGCAAATGACCCATCTAGACTAGCCAAATGACCCATCTAGCCCATCCTGTCCTCAGTGGCCAACCAGATGCCAGGAGGAACCCTCCAAGTAGTACCTGAACACAACAACACTCTACCCACCTGCAATTTTTAGCAATTCAGAGACACGCTGCCTCTGGCAGTGACCTATTGCTAGGTGGTGAGGGACACGGGTGGCGCTGTGGGTTAAACCACAGAGCCTAGGTCTTGCCGATCAGAAGGTCGGTGGTTCGAATCCCCATGACGGGGTGATCTCCCGTTGTTTGGTCCCTGAAGAAGAAGAAGAAGAGTTTGGATTTGATATCCCGCCTTTCATTCCCCTTCAGGAGTCTCAAAGCGGCTAACATTCTCCTTTCCCTTCCTCCCCCACAACAAACACTCTGTGAGGTGAGTGGGGCTGAGAGACTTCAAAGAAGTGTGACTGGCCCAAGGTCACCCAGCAGCTGCATGTGGAGGAGCGGAGACGCGAACCCGGTTCCCCAGATTACGAGACTACCGCTCTTAACCACTACACCACACTGGCCCTCCTGCCAACCTAGCAGTTCAAAAGCATGTCAAAGTGCAAGTAGATAAATAGGTACCGCTCTGGCGGGAAGGTAAACGGCATTTCTGTGCACTGCTCTGGTTCGTCAGAAGTTGCTTAGTCATGACTCGGAAGCTGTACACCGGCTCCCTCGGCTGATAAAGCGAGATGAGCGTCGCAACCCTAGAGTCGGTCATGTCTGGACCTAATGATCAGGGGTCCCTTTACCTTTATGGTGTGTGCTTTGTAGCAATATCTGGCTTGGTGGGCAGCTGCCTTGTGTGTTACTTAAAGGCCTGTGTCACACTCTGCTTTCCCTTTTATAGGGTCTATTCACATCCAAGTTATGCATGTCTCAGGTATGACGGCAGAGGAATAGGCAAAATAAATTATGCTGCCTCAAACTGGGAGGCATTTTTAAACTTTATTCTCATCCTGCCTTGCTTTTAAAGAGCAAATGATTGTAATGGAATTATGACAGTTGTTTGAAGTTTTTATGAAGACGAGGCGTAGTGGGGGGGGGATGCTGGGGCACATTTTTAAGGGGGAGCTGCACATTTGGCTCCTCACGCTGCCCTGCCAGCCCTGCGCCACTTTGCAAGACTGGGATGATCCAAGGGCTGTGTCGGCTGGCTGGACTCTGCCACATGCCACATTTAACCTGTGTGCATTCAGCTTTACGTGCTTGGCAAAAAAAAAAAAGGTTGCAGGCATCTGAGAAAAATTACTTTGCCACTCCCACCCACTAGTGCACCCATTGTTGTGGCTTTAGGTGCGTGAGCCCTGGAATGTAACCCCCCACATAAGTTGCGGGCTTATTGTACTACAGTACTATCTGGAATAAGTTTTGCTTAACAACTCCTGCACCTTCAAAGACTGCAGTTTGCCATTTGGGCCAGGCAGGGTCAGATTGTGGAATTGAGCTGTTTTTGTGGTTTGAGTGGGCAGTTGTTATCTGTTGTACTGTATGTTCCATGCCAGAAAGATGAGAACTATAACTTTTGCACATGACTCTGGACTGTGACCCAACCTGAAGGTTTGCTGACTTGTTTTGTGCCATTTTTTGTTGTTGTTTAGTCGTTTAACTAAACAACAACCAAAAATGGCACAAAACAACAGCCTGAAGGTTTGCTGACTTCTTTTGTGCCATTTTAGTTGGTCCTAAAAAAGAAGTCGTCTCTCCTACTTAGCCATGGGCAGAGCTCCTGCGATAGCAAAAAACCTTTAGGTGATGAGATGGTTTCAACGTTAGTGTTTTGATTTTGGGGCGGAGCTTTACTTGCTCTATGCAGAATGTTCTGTTACTGGTACTTCAGCCACCCTGGGTGGGGTGGGAATTTAAACAAGCGAAATCCCCTGCAGTTCAGAGGGGCTCCCTCCCCGGGGGGGGGGGGAGATTAGGATCGCTCTGCGTCCTTCCCTTTCCCCTGCGCCTTCCCTAATCCCCTTCAGCCCACAATGCACTGCTCCACCCATAGAGATAGAAAGAAAAAAAAGTAGAATCCATCGGAAACCAGTTCAGGCGCATCTGAGATGATCCCGACAAATCTTCCGTGCCCGATGTAAACCATATACAGCCTGTTCAACGCAGCTTCCCCTCGACAGAGAGGTAAAGAGTCTATTTCACTCTTTACCGGAAGTTTGGCTCCTCTTCATTCTTATCTCTGGTTTCCCCACACTCGCTTGGAGGAACCTTCTTGCACTCATCACCTCACAGCGTGAGCAACGTCCTTCTCGCCCGGTAGCTCCGCCCACTCAGTCCCCGCCCTCTTGAGTCAGGGGGGCGCGCGCGGGAGAGAGCGAGAGAGAGCGCGCGCGCCGGTGGGGGGCGTGTCCGCGGCGCTGAGGGGGCGTGTCCGTGGCTATTTGACCCGCTGGCCGCGCGCGCCCGTTCTCTCTCTTTCTTCGTCTCCTCGCCGTTTCCCCTCCTCCTTTTTTCCGCCACCGCTGCCCTTGCCGCGGCCCCTGCGCGCCCAGCCATGCCCAACATCGTGCTCTTCAGCGGCAGCTCGCACCAGGATCTGTCCCAGCGCGTGGCCGACCGGCTGGGGCTGGATCTGGGGAAAGTGGTGACGAAGAAATTCAGCAACCAGGAGACCAGGTGAGGCGCGGAAAGCGGATTGGGGATGCGGGGGGGGGGTGGAGGAGAAGCGAGCAGGCTAGGCGGCTCCGCGGCTCCATTGCAAGCCATTCCCGGTGCCCGCCCCCCTCCCTGAAAGCAACAACTGAGGCCCTGAATCCCAGGGTCGTGGGTTCGAGCCCCACGCTGGGCGAGCGACTCCTGCATTTGCAGAGGGTTGGGCTAGATGACCCTCGTGGTCCCTTCCAACCCTTCCTGCGTTCGCCCTGACCGGGGGTCGCGTGGAGAGGCGCACGGGCGGGAGAAGAGCTTCCTTTCTTGAGAAAGCGAGGGGTGAAGTGACGGCCATGGTGGGGGCGTGGGGATGCGGGAGAAAGAAACCCCTTGAAAGCTTCAGCGCGCTTTCCTCTGGCATGCGTGTTTTTGTTTTTTGTTTTTGTGTGTCTATGTATGCAAAGTATGGAAACGCTAATGCAAACTGGGCACTCTCCTGTTTGCTCATAAACCTGCGCGGGAAAAGGGCGTCCTCCGTGTCGCAGGATAATTAATTGTTCTGCCCTAAGAGGGTGGTTTAATATATTTGTCTGAGGCCTACAAACTAGATAATAGATAGATATGAGGCCTCAAGTGTATGTTTAGCTCTGGCCACGCTTTCATTGCCCCGTTTTAGGAAGAACAAAAAAAAGGGGGGGGAGCACCATTGCCGCTATTCTCTCTGCATGCTTTCTCAGAGCCCCCAAATTGTAGATTCAGTAGGCACTTGTAACCAGGTGAAGCCACTCAGAAGCTTCTGTTGCATATGTCTTTGCACGTAGTTTTCTTTTTCTTCCTTTGCTTTCACATTTTATAGTTTAATGTTTGGACTAGAGGAGGTGATGAGGATGATTTACGTTTGTCCAGAGTGAGGCATGCATTCTGGGCCTTCACATCTCTAGTTTACGCATGAAATGCCTTATTCATGTTTTAAAGCATAATGTGTGAATTATTAGCCTGTAGTTTAGAATGATTGCACCAGTTCTTGGCTCTCTCAAAGTGTGCCTAAATGCAGAATCTGAAAGTCCACATGCCTGGTTGTACTATTAACAAATTTTGAGTAACTACCATATCTTAGTAAGAGTACCGTCACTTCTTAATCTGACTGAGAGTCTGCACTTCACCGATAATCTGTGTTTGCCTGTAAGCATGTCTTGAAAGCCTACAGGCTGCCCTTTTCCTGACAACCTTGATCGTGACAGGACAAGAGTGTTTAAAAGGCACTACTGATCATAAATAATCTAGAGTTAAGGGTGAGCAGTGAGGTGGCCATGTTTGCTTACAATAATTCCCTAAATTGTTAAAATAGAGACTGAAGAGCCCCAAGGGATCTGTGCAAGCTGACTAAATAGGCAGTAAAATGGTAAATCCAATTTGGTGTAAACTAGTGTCAAGTGACACACATTGAAAGAAAAAAAAAGCCACCTTAATTTCATATGCACTTATGAGGTCTGAAGTGACCAAGAATGAGACCTTGGGGTCATAATAGAAAGCTCAGTGAAGATGTTGACCCAATGTACAGCAGCTGTGAAAAAGGCAAATTCGGTGTTAGGAAATCATTAAGAAATCAATTGAAAACTGAACTGCCAATAGCATATTGCCGTTATGCAAATCTATGGTGTGGCTGTGTACAGTTCTGGTCACCTCCCCTCAAAAAGGATATTGTAGAGTTAAGAGGTGACATGATAGAATTTTATAAAATTTTGCACGGCTTGGAGAAAGTGGATAGAGAAAAGTTTTTCTTCTTCTCATGACACTGGAACACATGGACTTCTGACGAAGCTGAACATATGAAGATTCCATACAGATAAAAGAAAGTGCTTCTTCATGCACCTTTGGTCCTTGAATATGAAATATGATTTGATTGATCAGTCCAATAACACATTTCATATTCAAGGGCCAAAGCTGTTTACGAGCTGTCCTAGATCACACATACATATCCTATCCCTCTGGTTCCCCTAATTCTACTCTGAGGTAGAACAGTTTGCTTCTGTGTTGCTTCTCATAATACATAGGAATGTGGCTGTATCTCCTTGAGATGGGAAAGTTAATCACAGCTTCTATAGCCTTTCTTGATTGTCTTACATTGTAAAGCATCCAAGATCTCTTGCCTGAAGTGCTATCTCATTTTCCCAGCACTTTAGAGCCAGGGTAGATATAATTATTTCTGTCAGATAGCTCTTGCCATTTCAGATGAGTCTGCCATGTAGTTGTGGCTGGTAGAATGTCACAGGAACAGAAAAAAGATTTTCTGCTGCACGCACACCAACTCAAGAATGCTTCCCAGAATCAGGGTTTAGGTTTGGGGGTTTTTTGTGAGGGGTTTGGCTTAGTTTACAGCTGGTTATACCTTGGCAAGAAATGTAGCTAAGAGGCGTCTCTAAACTTGTTAAGAGACTAAAATTGGACACTTTATAGATGAAGACTCCTATAGAATCATAGAGTTGGAAGGGACCCTCTGGGTCATCTTTCTAGTGCAACCTCCTGCAATACAGGAATCTCAACACACAGTCCCCCATCCAAATTGAAACCATACTGGACCCTGCTTAGCTTTGCAAATATGCTAACCGTTTTATTGCTGCACCACTAAACTCCTATAAGTTTCCCTTTTCTGCTCTTGATTGCACAAGTAAAATTGACCACTTTTTAATTAAAACAGGAGGCAACAGGATGCGCAATTCTATGGTTGTCTTCTTTGTAGCAGGGCATTCTTCCCTGTCATCCTATATTCTTTGTCCCTAGGCCTAACATCTCCAGTTAAAGTGTTGGGTAGCAGGTGATTCAAAAGGCTTTAAACCTGAACAGCCATTTCCAGTTAGTGAGCAGCGATGTGCCAGGTGAACCAAAATATTGTAGCTTATTCGTGCTGCTATAAATAGAAGTACACCTGAGTTTATTTCAGCAAAACTGAACACTAAGTTATGCCTGAGCTAGAAGCAAGATGCTATTCTGTGCAAGAGCTGTGGTGGTTGGGCTGTATCCCTTAGTACAGTGGTGCCTTGGGTTACAGACGCTTCAGGTTACAGAAGCTTCAGGTTACAGACTCCACTAACCCAGAAATAGTACTCCGGGTTAAGAACTTTGCTTCACGATGAGAACAGAAATCACATGGCGGCGGCAGCGGGAGGCCCCATTAGCTAAAGTGGTACCTCAGGTTAAGAACAGTTTCAGGTTAAGAACAGACCTCCAGAACGAATTAAGTACTTAACCCAAGGTACCACTGTATACTGTATACCTAGCTTGGATCCTTAGAGTTAGTGCACATTAGATACTTAAGCAAGTCTTGGTTTAGGCATAAGTATTCCATTCTTGTACTGCTTGTGCATGAAAGCAAAAAACATGCTCACAAGAAGTCAGAGGCACAAAGAACTTTGTATCTCACTGATGCTCCACTAGAATGGAGAAGTGACATCAGTTTAAGGAGTTCATCATATGAAACTGCAAACATTCATGTTTAAAACGAATAGCACAGTATGGATGCTATGACTCTCTTGTACTCCTGATTTTAACAGTTTATGCTTGGAAGTAAGCCTCATTGACTTCAAGCATACAAGCTAAACATTTTAACCTTAAGCTGTCCTAAACTGACTCAGGACCACAGCAACGCTCTGTTGTTGCTGCTGCATTCTCTAATTTTCCAGCATGTGATCTGGCCTGGGGCTTAGAACAAGCACTGTGTGCACTCTAATCGCATCTGCTTCACGTGTGTAAACAAAAGAAGCTTATTGCTTGTGTTTCTTTAGACACACACACACACACACACACACACACACTCCACCAATAATAGTGATGGCTCTTGGTGTTGGGATAGTTGTGAAAACAAAAAATAAAATAGCATAAAGTTGAAATAACTGAGCTAAAGTGCAAGTTCCTTCATTGATTGGTTTCACTGATTTAAATTTGTGTAAAGCTGTGATTTCAGTCAATTTGAAGTTTCATTCGTATAACTGCTTTTTGCTGCTCAAGAGCTCAGTTGTTCTATTTTGCTATTTATTGCTGTCCCTTGTTTCCTGGTGGGCTTTGCCACTAACGCTAATAGAAGCAATGCATGCATGCGGGCTCGTTGCTGCACATTCTGCGTACACGAATAGGTACTAACTATGCATTTAAGCTTGTTGCTGTGAGACAAAATGGTAATTTGTGTGAGCAAGACGGACCATTTACCTTTTGCTTGGTGCACCTTGCTCTGTTGCAAAGGAAGCACATAGTCAAAGGGTATCTCACAGAAAAGAGCACTTCGTGGGATCAGAGTTGCATTTGGTGTGTTCTCTACCTGTAGCTGTTGGTCAACTAAAACAAAACATTCTTAATGTCTCTTGTTTTGAATATATCTGATTTCCTGGCGTTGCAAGTCCACATTCATTCTTTCATAGAATCATGGAGTTGTAGAGTTGTAAGGGACCCCCTGTAATGCAGGAATCTCAACAAAAGCATCCCCTGACAGAGGGCCATCCAACCTCTGCTTAAAAACCTGCAAGGAAAGAGTCCACAACCTCCCAATTGACAGCTCTTTCTATTTCCTGCCACCAAAACAATTTAGCATTTTTAAGTTACTGTTATTCTCTCCTCTCCTTTCTGATAATGAGATATATTTCTTTAGCAGCTTTTTTAAACAGTTTAAATATCTTCTCAATCAGAATGGGACCTAACTAATAATTGAGAATGTTGAAAAGACTGCTTTTGCTTGGGATGGTGGTGGTGTAATCCCACTGGTGTGCTCAAAGTGACATTTTAGCCTTGCAACTATCCTGCGTTCAGGTTAGTCTGAGAGATACTAACTTAGTTGACCAGCTGTTTGGATTGGGGTTTCCCCACATCCAAGCACAGCACTCAAGCACTGGATCTATGACCAAGTTGACTTCGGGTATTTGAGCAGGCTGAGAGCAAAGACTTGACTATTTAGTAGGGAATGATAAAGTGCTGATCAGTAGCAGGGGTGGTTGACATTGTGCCTTGGAGTGCCTTGTATGTCATCAAACACGTTTTTCTGCCACATATTGCAAGTCAGGAAGTTGCATGTGACCTGGATAATACATGCAGTGGCTCACATACATTAACTCCCCCCCCCCCCAAATATAGCATTTAAATGCTGTGTGTCTGTCCCTTTAAATGTGTGTGAAGCATTCTGTGTTTTCTGTCAACAACATTTAGAGCTGCAGCCACCAACTGTGGTTGGAAAAACAAATACTGCTTGTGCAGTTTAAGGGAAAGTATTATTCTTGTTTTTGAACAAAAGCAAAATATGAATTTGACCATCCAGATTAATACCCCAACAGGCCTTGCGGCATGCTTTTTTGTTCAGTGCTTATTGCAACACCGTCGCTGGGAGTTTGCAAGTGTGTGCTCAGCATTACGCATTAATAGAAGTGAACAATTAACCAATTGGCTCAGTATTAAAATATGGTAATCCTCTCCCAGAAAAGCCCTGAGGCAAATGCCTGTGTACATTGATAAGCCTTGCCCTGAGGGTCAACAAACTCTTGTTCTGTTGGACCAGCTTAGGGGGCAAGTTCCAGAGTCAATAGGCTGCCAGCGCATCCAGCCCTCCGAAGTTCGGCTGCCAGAATTGCACATAATTGCGTTCGGGCACAATAATACAATGCATACAAATTGAATGGTGTGATGTACATCCCAAAACGAGGGGAGGGGATGTGGGGCTAGCATTTCAGTGAAAAATATTGGTATAACAGCAGTACAGCATTAAATGTAAATGATTACATGGTGTAGAATGTGAAAGCTGCATTTCCCAATTAAGCAGGAGGAAAGAATCTGCCTTCCCTATCCAGACGCAGTCCGTAAATAGGTGGTTGGTGCTGAAGCCGAGGTTGTAGGGCTCTGCATGCAGGCCCAGTCTGGGAAGTTCCTGCTTTCTTGTTCCTTTCCTTCTCTCAGGCCAAAGCAGTTGCTTAAAGGTAAAGGGACCCCTGACCATTAGGTCCAGTCGTGGCTGATTCTGGGGTTGCGGCGCTCATCTCGCTTTATTGACCCAGGGAGCCAGCGTACAGCTTCCGGGTCATGTGGCCAGCATGACTAAGCCGCTTCTGGCGAACCAGAGCAGCTCACGTAAATGCCGTTTACCTTCCCGCCGGAGCGGTACCTATTTATCTACTTGCACTTTGACGTGCTTTCGAACTGCTAGGTTGACAGGAGCAGGGACCGAGCAACGGGAGCTCACCCCGTCGCGGGGATTCAAACCGTCCACCTTCTGATCGGCAATTCCTATGCTCTGTGGTTTAACCCACAGCACCAAAGCAGTTGCTTAGCTTACTGCAAAAAGGCACAGCTTATTGCCTGAGTCTGGAGCGTGGTCAAGTACAAAGACTGCAAGTTTAGTGGACATAAGGCAAGGCTATCAAGCGTAAGCAAACCTTGGCCATCGTTACATTCAACTTCTCATGGCAGCGAGTCCCAAAAGTGCATCATGAGATCCATTTCTTTCTTGTCTCTGCTTGAACCTCTTGTCAGTCACTGTGTGGATTCTGAGCTCTAGGATTATAGGAGTAGTGAACTCTCACCTCTGCCCATGGTAAAGGAGCCTCAGTCCCATTTGTCCCAAATGGGGAATCTGAGGGCAGATTATGCAGCAAGTTGCTGAAGCAGCTGTTGTTGTTGTTAATTAGTTAAATTTCTTACCCACCTGTCACCAAAAGGTTCCAAGGCAGATGATCGCAATTTAAAAATACAAAATTAAAAGTTTAAAATAAACGATTGTCAAGAGAATAGGGTGGGTTCTAAAAACATCCACTGTATTCCATAAGCCTTTGTGGATGGACCAGGGAGTGAGCCATACATGACAGCAGGTTCACAATGTGCCCCTCCCTCCCATGAGCTAGCTTAATGTCACTTAGATCATCCAACTAGGCTCAGCAGCAGCAGCAGCAGTAGTAGTAGTTAGCTGTTCTCTTCCCATCTGTGTACATTTGCTCACCTCTGTACCTTCCCCATCATACTAAATAAAATAATAGGGGAGCTCCTGTGGACTGAAAAGAGAACCCATAAGCCTAGGTGGTGAGTGGGTCTGAGAGAGAATTGTGCCTAAATTGTTTTAGAATACTTGCATGAGGACCTCTACCCTTTGGACAAAAAATTATGTTGCCAACACTGAGCCACATTCAATAATCTTCTCACTAAGACTTGGCCGGGGGGGAGGGGGGGCTCTTCTGGATACTGTAGATTAAAGGCCAAGGTCATGTCCACAAGTGAAACTTACATTAGCTATTGGGCTTCACACCTGTGAATCAAACAAAATATAAGTGTGTTATTTCTGTCATAGGTGAACGATACTCATAGATAGTGCATTTGAGTGAAAGGTATCATGGCATAAGGAGGGTATAGTTGAAGTACTGACATGCGTAGCTTTGATTCCATTCGGAATGTAATATATTTTGGGCAGAGGGGATTTGTTGTAATAATTGTGCTGAAGTCCCTGCCGTGCATTTTATAAAATGGTGCAAATTCAAAGTGAAATAAGGAGGTTTAAAAGTGCGCCTTTGTGTATAAAATCTCCTCAGCTGTCTAGTGGTTTGGGCACTTTGCACCCGTCACCCTTCGAACTTGAACCGAAAGTTCCAAACGGCTGAATTTGATAAATTGCATAAAACAAACATTGATGTTCTTCTGGGGGAAGATCTAGCTTGATTGCCGTTTTATCTGTATCACCACAGCAGAATGTTGGTTAACTTTGGAGGTGGGGGGTGGAGATGGGGTAGAATCTTAATGGTTAACTAGTAGTTTTGCCCTTGATACATTTGGAATACAGTGGTTTTTTTGTAACTAGGTAAATGATGCAAACTCCTGGCAGAATCGAGCCAAAGTTAAGCCCTTTTATGCTCAACTGATTTCAGTAGGAATAATAGTTAACCCTCTAATCTTACGCTCTTAAGGCCCCGTCTGCACTATACAAAGTAGTACTGCACCACTTTAAATAGTCATGGCTTCCTCCCTAGAATCCTTGAAACTGTAGTCTGCTGGGAAGCTGAGAGCTTCACTTCTCAGAATGGCTTAACAATCAATTCTTCTTCCCAGGAGTTAGTGAGTTGAAACTTAACGGTATGCCAAGTAGTACAACACCCTATAAAGGCGAAGCCTGTGGTTAAGTCTATCATAACACGTGAAGCCTCTGATCACGTTGCCACAACTTGTTGGTTTTTAAGGACCCCTCTTGCCTGAAAAGCAATTTTTGGGTTTGGGGAGTAAGCCTTGTCTGGTACATTATCTGCAGAGAGCTAAGCTGCTTAGTTAAAATGTATTGTTTAGGAACAGAATTTAAGTATTACTTTTCTTCTTTATAGACTTAACATGCCCAGTCATGTCATTGTTGTGTCTCCATCTTTCTTTCCAGTGTAGAGATTGGTGAGAGTGTAAGAGGGGAAGATGTCTACATCGTCCAGAGTGGTTGTGGTGAAATAAACGACAATTTGATGGAGCTTCTCATCATGATCAATGCTTGCAAGATTGCGTCGTCCTCCCGAGTTACAGCAGTAATCCCATGTTTCCCTTACGCTAGGCAAGATAAGAAAGACAAGGTAGGTGAGCGGTGGTTACTCTCTGAAGGTGTTTGTCAAAATAAGAGTCATCCTCTTCCGCCTCTGCACATTTGCCCTGATTTGCCAAATTATGAAATGTATTTAGAATCTTTGGCTCTCCAGATGTTGATTGGCCCCAGAAAGCATGGCCAATGGTCAGGGATGAGGGGAGTTTAAGTTCAGCAACATCTGGAGGGCCAAATGTTCCCCACCCTTCATTTAGACTATTATGACCAACCTAGTGTAGTTAAAGCTGCACTATGGAGAATTCTTAGTTAGAAGCAAAGTTTCCAGTGCAATTGGTCAGCTTTGCTCCCAAGTGAATTTTGATCTTAGCTGGCGAAGAGGATTCTTCCTCCCTAACCCATCATGATGGCCCCGAGATCAACATGGCATACTTGGTAGTTGATACGGCAAATATTAATGTTGCAAATGAGAGCTGAGTACATTCTACCACAAACGCAGTTGAAAAATCCAAATGTAAGTACCTGTGGGTGTGTTTGGCATAAAAATAGTGCAGCATAGTATGAAGCAAGGAATATATTATTGTATGCAGTATAGTTCTCGTTATTTTTCATGCTTAGATACCGATAAACAATTGTATGCATTCATGTCAATGTTACACCTTTGCTTTAAACAAATCAAAAGGATGCCTCCTAGCAAATCTTCCTATGCTGTGTCTTCTGCCTCAGTTTAATTCTTTTACTCAATTATGTTAATTGTGCTGTTTTCCATACTTTAGTAATGCATTCTTTTAATTATAGGCATTCTTGGGCTCAAGTGTTTGGCTACCACAATTTTTGCAGCTGTGAACAAATCAGTTAGAGGCATAACACATTCTGAAAAATATTGTGCTTAGACAACCACGTGAGATTAGTTTTGGGACTGAGCAATAAGTTATAATTAGTTCTAACCACACTCTTGGAATGACAGGGCAGGGAATGCCATGGGAAATTGCATCTCCAGTCATTATTTACCATTATAAATCTTATGCAACTTGTTTGGAGTACAATACCCCACAACTTTATAGTGATCCCCCCTTTTAAATTAGATAAACCTGCTTCACTTTTCCATTTTGGAACATTTTGTTCTATTCATATTAGAATATTGGAGAGCTGATCATTCTTCCCCAGTAATGAAACTTATTTCTACTTAAGATCTCTTACAATAAGACGACAAGTTTTTGATAATGACCTTTTGCTGCCTTAAAGGTTGAAAGAAAAAAAAAGATGCTGAACCAGGTGATCTCAGAGTTCCATTTTTGACTTTTATAGTTTCTTACCTTAAAGGGAAGTCACTGAGGATGCAATATTCTCTTTAGTTCTTCAAATCATATGCAACATCCTTCTTTCAATATGTCAAATCTCACTACCTGATATTTAACCCGTATACACATTCTTTTCGCAACACTAAAATTTTCACCGCATATGAAAGAGGACAATGGGAATTCTGATTGAAATGATTTTTAAAATTTATCCTATTCTTGCAGATGAGAGAACAGGATTTGCATATTTCATTAATTGACTTTTGTTGTGTTTTCCTATATAGGACCAAGGTAGATGGGTAAGTGGTACTTTACAGCTATCTTGATTTAAAATGTACCATGGATTATTAGAATCTCAGCTGACCCATTTTGATCTCAACTTCAGTTTAAATGCATAATATTTAACTACATTTGAGCAAGCTCTGTCTCCCTTATCAAGAAAGGAAAAAAACCTGGGATTTTTGCATTTCCAGATAACATTACTACTTTTTGCCAACACAACAAAGTTCATACTGAAGTTTATATCAGACCTTTTCCAAAGTAAACGAAAAATTAGGTAACTCAGAGTAGGAAGGTTTTAAATCTAAGCCGCTGTTTAAGACTTATGTGTGTATATATAGGATATTCACCACACATGCAGAGCAAATTACTTGATTATTGGAGAAGCAGCATAAATCAATCACAGTTTTGAAGGAGAAAGCTGGAAATTGGGTTGTGTAGGCATGACACACACACACACAGTAGAAACATATAAGCCAAAAAGTGTGGTAGACAAGTTCACCAGTCCAGACGCAAAAGTTGGGTGTGGTTCTATAGGATGCTGAGAAAGTGACTGGAAATTTCCAGGTTTCAGATCTTCTAAAAATATTAATGTCATTCTTAAATATTTGTTGTTTGTGTTTTACTAAAGGAGCTGTGACTAATAGCTTTGTCTCTTGCTCTTAATCCTAAAGTATAATTTGTAAGCAGAGAGCAAAATGTCCAGGAGCTAACTCCTTGAAGGTTCAAGGATTTGGTTTTTAGAGGGGTTTTAAAAAACCCAACTTGGACAGTTCACTGATTTCCAGATGTTATTCACGAAACATACTTGCCAGACTATCACTTATGAATGGTTCTTCTGTTGGCTCATTGGGTTCCCTTTTGAAGCATTGATTTGCCCCAATCAGAAAAATAGATGCTAAGTGGAAATGTTTGCTGTACTAGAGAAGGAACAACATTTTCCCTTGGGTCAGTTTGGCTAGCAGCCCTCAAATTTTGGGTCTTCTCCCGTGTTGTGTGTCTTGGCTTGTTCACTTGGGTGAACTTGGGTTTACTTGCTAAGCTGTTCCCTGTAGGCACCTTTTGTCATGGTGCTCTTGGACTGGAGGCACGTTGCAATCTAGATGACGTGGAACCCAATTGTGTAAGTCTCTCCTTGCCCAGTGTTTGTACTAAAAGGTGATCGCCAACATTGCACCTGCTTGCTCTTTCTCTCCTCCACCTGCGTATCATCCAACCTTGAAGAGCAGATTTTTGGGCAGTTTGGGGCAGAGATGGAGGAAAAAAAGGAGAAGACCATTGTGCAAGTTAGGCTGACACAAGCTGGATGCCACCCAGAGCGCTTACAATTTGGCAGCATCAACAAGCTATTATTTGAAGTAAATCTTACGCTGGTGTGTGGATGTGGTTTTCTGAATATTCAAAAAGTGACAACATATTAATGGCTTCACACTGGAAAGACACCTTAGTCTTCAGAAAGTGTTAATGGCCAATTTCCCTCTTTGCTAATGAGAACCAGATAAATAGCTTGGATGTGACCTATCCACAGTTGGGCTTTGAGCGGCCAGAACATCCCATGAGGCAAAGTAAATACTTCCTGCTAATTATCAGAGATGTCCTCTCTGCGCTTGTCACACTGGTGTCTTGACAAGATGTAGCTTTTAAGCAGTGGCTCTTGGTTCTGGCATCTATCACTTCTGCTTTAGCACTTCATTTTTCAGTCCCGAGATCAATAATGTACGCAGTATGTTGAACTTTGCCTCCTGGCTGCTGATGTTGCAGAATAGCCAGTGAAGAGAGGTATGTCTTCAGCTATGTGCTTTGGCTGAATGAAATTCTTCACATTTTTTATAATTAGCCATATTTTTGAAAAATATGTGTATTTGACTATATTGTGTTCCACTAATGTCACTGTTTGGATTTTCAGTTGTGTGGATTTATTCTTGAAAGAGTGAGCAGTTTGAGGTGTGTGTGTGTAATCACAAGCTCTAGTGCTATGCAGTCACCCATTCATTCACTGTGAGAGGTGCAAACTGCATTGCAATGAATGTGTACTGTATGTCAGAAGCGGTTGGTGGATTGTGTCATGCATGTGACTCTGCTATGAGTAAGGGGAAGCTGATTGCCCCATCTCAGTTAAATCTAACATATATGAACAGTAATTCATATACATCTGTAGTAAAAGCAGTTTGCAATGCATCAAACAACAGTTTTAATGAATAAACAACAACCCACACCCAAAAAGAGCTCAGCCCCAAATCATGGCTGTCTGTGTATCAGCTGTGCCAGGTAGTGGTTTCTGTCACAGTTCTTTCTCAGTTCTGTTTCTGCAGTTACTTTTCTGTTCTGAGTGTCTGCTCCCCCCCCTTCTTTCTCTATCCCCTCTTGTCCATTTTCAGCCTTTTACAACTCTCCTTTCTTCTCCTGACTTTTTCCACTTCCTGCAGGCATTGCAACTGCTTTGCATCCTCAGTATTTGCATTTGTGTAGGAATTAGGACTAGCTTCCTAAAATGAAATGTAAAAGAAGCCATCAAAAAGTTAGGGGTGTGGGGGTACTTGGAAGAGTTGACCCTTAGTGGGACAGTTGCATTTCAAGTATTTTCAAATGCTACATTTTCGCAAGATGAATTTCTGTAGCAATACTGTATGTCCCATTCTGCCAAAATATTGCATGCTTTGACCTGAGTGGAAGTTATGATAAACCTGGTGGTTGGTGAGGCAAACCTTTATGGAGGAATCAACTTATGGCTGTGTTTTGCATAAAAAATGGGGTGATCTGGAATGCATTCCATCCCTCCCCCAATTTCTTAGTGCTTTCAAAATATCTAAATGCCATTTTGGAAAAGGCCCACTTCCCAGTTAAATCTGGTTCCACATTCCTAAGAACTAAACTTCATCACATGGGGAAATGATGTCAGTGTTTACTACTTGAAGAGGAATGATTTGTTCACTGTTCCGTTCCAAACTACATATTACCTCAGTAGCCAAATATTTCCAAATACACACTTGCTTAGGCAACACTTAATGTAATGTGTGGTGGGGGCAAGGGTAGAGGACCATTTGAAATGGGTTGGGGCGCTCAGCACCCTTGATACGCATTGAAAATTCTGCCCTGCTGGTTTCTCCCCCCTAGTTGTTTCAGGATCTGAAACCAGATTTCCTTTTGGGGTTAAGGAGAATTTTTTTAAAATAAGATTTTAAGATCTTTCATAATACTATGCAATGCAATAACTAATCTAAACAAGAGAGAGAGAGAAGAATGCAAAGTCCTCTGTCACAAGTAGGTCTCCATTTTTTCTGACAGCCTCGTTGGGAGATCTCTGGGGACCTGTGGTCCTCCAGGTGGATAGTTCAATTGTTTATGATGTGGTGCTGATAATCCCAAGGTTGCAGGTTCGATCCCTGAACGGGACAGCTGCTTATTCCTGCATTGCTGGGGGTTGGGCTAGATGATCCTCAGGGTCCCTTCCAATTCTACGATTCTATAAAATCCAGTCATCCCCAGCCAGTATAGCCAGTGCTCAGGGATTAGGGGAACTGTAGTCCAATAATGGGACGCGGGTGGCGCTGTGGGTTAAACCACAGAGCCTAGGACTTGCCAATCTAAAGGTTGGCGGTTCGAATCCCTGTGACGGGGTGAGCTCCCGTTGCTTGGTCCCTGCTCCTGCCAACCTAGTGGTTCAAAAGCACGTCAGAGTGCAAGTAGATAAATAGGTACCGCTCCTGCGGGAAGGTAAACGGCGTTTCCGTGCGCTGCTCTCGTTCGTCAGAAGCGGCTTAGTCATGCTGGCCACGTGACCCGTTAGCTGTACACCGGCTCCCTTGGCCAATAAAGCGAGATGAGCATTGCAACCCCAGAGTCGGCCACGACTGGACCTAATGGTCAGGGGTCCCTTTACCTTTACCTAGTCCAATAATATCAGTTGGGCCCCAGATTTTCCACCCTTGGTTTAAAAAAACTGTCAAGGAAGTGTTTGTAGGGTACAAATAACAGGATGAGGGAAGAGCTGACCCCCCCCACCCCCAGATTATCTTAACAAGGCAAATGGGGTTTGAGTGTCAACAGAAGCAGTTTTGGGGAAGGGAAGTTGCAGCAGAACAACAGGAAGCAAAGTGGTTCATTTGTGCAGGTCTCTGCTGCAGATTCCCACCCCGGTTGTTTTTCCTTATAAGAAGCCGTGGTTTTCAGCATGCATTTGTGTACAAGGTGGAGTTTGGCCCTGACTATATTAAACTAGTCTGGATGTCTGGAGTTAGCAAGTGGCTTAAAAAATATCCAGAGAGGTCTAAAACAGAAGCCCTTGCTTTCAGAAAAGCCAAACGATTGTGTCCAGAGTCCTGGGGTGGATCTACACTGACCTCTCTAACATTATTAGAAGGGCATTAGGTATATCGTTCTAAAATGTCACAGGGCGTACTTTTAATTTAAATCGTTTTTCTTACTTTGTTGTTGGTTTATATTCGTAGAAACGCTGCTGGTGGCTCTGCAGCGCCCTCTGGTGTCACATTTTAAAAACGCATTAAGAACTTTAAAAACAATGTGTCATTTGTTCCTCTGTGTTACTGCAACCCTTCCTTAACCCTTTCCTACCATTAAAAATGGGGTGTGGGTGGTGCTGTAGGTTAAAGCACAGAGCCTAGGACTTGCCAATCAGAAGATTGGTGGTTTGAATCCCCGCAACTGGGTGAGCTCCTGTTGCTCGGTCCCTGCTCCTGCCAACCTAGCAGTTCAAAAGCAAGTCAAAGTGCAGGTAGATAAATAGGTACCGCTTCGGCAGGAAGGTAAACAGCGTTTCCATGCACTGCTCTGGTTCGCCATGGCTTAGTCATGCTGGCCACATGACCCAGAAGCTGTATGCCGGCTTCCTCGGCCAATAAAGCGAGATGAGCGCCACAACCCCAGAGTCGGCCACGACTGGACCTAATGGTCAGGGATCCCTTTACCTTTACCATTAAAAACATGAGTGCAGATCTGCCCCTGGGTTGGGACAAGAATTGAGAGCAACAGCAGGTAACATTTGAAGTGTGTGAAGAAAGTGATTTGAACTCTTGTTGCAAGCCCGAAAAGCACACACTGGGGACTCCTTACCTGTAATAGTCTTCCTGGTGCCAATGAGAACTGAGAATGCTCAGTGGATACTAAGAGCCGCAGGATGTTGAGTGTAAGGTGTATAAAAAAGGCAACTGGAAGGGAGGCTAGAGGTGAAGGTGTGGCTGGAACCCTGAGCAGAAGCACTTCTGTTAGACTGCAGCGTTTCTCAAACTTGGTCCCCAGATGTTTTTGGACTATAACTCCCATCATCCCTGACCACTGGTCCTGCTAGCTAGGGATGATGGGAGTTGTAGTCAAAAAACAGCTGGAGACCCAAGTTTGAGAAACACTGTGTTAGAGGATACAGCTGCAACATTTTGTTTGCAGGTCCCACTTGTTTTATATAGAGAGATGCATAGATATTATAAGAAGTGTGGAAGAGCTCTGATCACTGTCCACTTGCATCGCTTGAATCGAGAGACCTTATGACTTCCTTCTCACCCGCCCCGCAACCCCAAAGTTCATAAAACCCGTCTTTTGTTCCCTCCAGAGCCGCGCTCCCATATCTGCAAAACTTGTCGCCAACATGTTATCAGTCGCTGGAGCAGATCACATCATCACCATGGATTTGCATGCTTCCCAGATACAGGTAATGAAGATTCCTTTTCTCTCTCCTTCCTGTATGCTGCTTCCCTTTGTGTGTTTGCACTGCCATCAGGAAAATGTGTTGGGTCGTGTGCAGCTAGGTCTGCGTGCAAGCAGAATAGACACTTGCTCTTTTGCTCCTCCCACCTCCAGCTGCCCACCGCATCTGTTGTGCAGGGGTTTTTTTGGGGGGGGGGTTATAGGAGGCTGTAGATGGGAGGAGAGGAAGGTGAAATCCCATTTTGTGAGTAGAAGCTGGATTCCACCCTTTGTTCTATCTATCTGTCTACTAAAATTTGTGCCCCACCTTTGTAAACAAAAAGTCAGCTTGATTGTGGAAGCAGTAAAGTGATAGTACGAACGCTCACAGCATGTCTCCAGTGCCTACTTAAAATAGGCCGTATGGGCCACGTGTCATTGTCTAGGGATATTGCTCCATCATCTGAGTAGTGCAACAGGCAAAGACCCTTTCCCCTCACCCAGCTGATAACAAGGAGGGTTTCAGAAGCTGAGTGCGGTTCTTTACTAGGTGCAAATGGACAAGCGATTCCTGAGAAAATCCTCATTCCAGGCTGATTTAGGGCTTTAAAAACTAAAGCCACCAACCTGAGTAGAGCCTGGAGACAAGTTGGCAGCCAGTGAAGAGGATATATTCAGCTGTCATCATATGATCCACCCTGCTAGCCACTGATGGCACGATTGTTGACCATCTGGACCTTCAAGAGCAGCCCTGCACTGCAGCAATCCATATGTTCCAGTTGACTCTACTAAAATTGAAGCCAGGTGCAGTGATTTCCCTTGGGCAATCCTGTGGTCTCCACAGGGTTGCTTTGAAGCATCATGGGCTTTGTACTGCAGTGGTCTGTTTAAATTCCAGGCTGGGGCATTTTAAATATTTAACAAGCAACTGCTATCTCTCCAGCTCTCTCTCTCATAAAGCCTCAGGTTGTTGACTGTCAGCTGTAGACAACACACACAGTCTTGGAGGTTTTCTCAAGGCCAAGTAAGACACCTGCTTTTTGCTCCCATGGGCTTCAAACTCTTGAGTTTGCTGTGCATGTGATGGGGGCGTAATGGTGTAGGAAGGTCCAAATGGCTTCTTTCATTCTCAAAAAGTGACAACTTTTTCAGTAGGAAGAAAGAAGTGAAGAGCAGCTCCCTTAAAGTGGCAGAATCAAGAGAGGCAGAGGACCAGCCTGGATGCTAATGAGAATTGGGATGCAGTTTATTAAAATGAACACCACCCACCCTTTTGGAGTCACTAAATTTAGTCACTGTCACAAAGCAGTGGCTGTTACATGGCTGCTTAGATGCAGGCTGAAATGTATTCAGTAAGCTTTTTCCTCGCAGCTGTTGGGGTATCCTTGCCTCTCTTGTTTAAAGCATTTCAGTGAAATGGGCATATCAAAAAGAGGGTTAGATGCTAGACTGCATGATCAGCATCTCATTTAAAATGGTCAAGCACAGCCATTTAGATGTTGCACTTGGACATATATTGGAGCAAAGGTGGTATGTGCTTCTTCCCATGTCAGTATTTGCCTTTTGTTTTATATACTTTCATCAGGGACATGCCTTCGATCACACCCCTCACCAGCCCTGCTCCACACTTCCCTCAGGTGCTTTTGCCTGGTGGTAATGTGTCCTTGTTCTGTGACAATACCTCTAGTTTGTGTGGCTAAAGATGGGTGTGGTGGGTGTGTGCATATGGGAGCTTCCAGCTTCTGCGTGGCTGAAGTGTTGCCTGCTGTGCAAAGATAAGAGTCTCATCCATTGCTCTGCCCAGTTTTGCTTGTGACCCTGCCCACTTTTTTCACTGGTCCCACTCAATACTGGCTAACAATCCCCAGGAAGTTACCTGTGAGACAATGGCTGTGGCAGAGAAAGCTCCTCATCTGCTTATTTTGCATGAGATTTTGGCAGTAGTTAGCCTGCCTCTACAGCTTGTTGATCGTATAAAGATCTGTACCTCCGTAAATTAATACCTGGCTGCCTCTTTTCTTGCAATCTCCAGGGTTTCTTTGATATCCCAGTGGACAACCTGTATGCAGAACCAGCTGTGTTGCAGTGGATCAAAGAAAATATTGTAGACTGGAGGAACTGTGTCATTGTCTCACCAGATGCGGGAGGAGCAAAAAGGTAGGATGCAATCTCCAGCTAACCTGTTTTATTATATAGTTTCTGACATGCAGAACCCACCTTTTTATGTTACGGAAGCCAAGGCAGCTTACATGCTGTTCTGCAGGTGGTTTCTCCATTCAGGCACTGACCAGACCGAGGCTTCCTTAGCTTCAGAAAAGTGCTGACCACAGGGGCCTTCAGACCGTATGCTGGGAGGAACAATCTCACCAGCATTCCTTTTACAGAGCAGAAACCACTTTGGCAATTGATGTTTATCTAAGTGATTGATGCATCGGTTGCTTAACTTCTGTAGATGGAACATTTTTTAGAAAGCAGCGAGTTCCAAGCACTGGCAAACTTACCTTCTTAAAATAATTTCTTTGTCCTGCTGAATCATGACAAAGATCCATCTAGCCTTGTTTTCACAGTGGCCAACCAGATGATTTCCAAGCTCTGCACTTTGCTTGGTGGGCAAGGCCCACTGAGTGCATCAGCTCCTGAATGCTACGGATGCTTGTGTGAGATCCCACAGGATCATCCCAGTGCAGGAAAGGATTCAGACATTGGGACATGATATATTGTTGTTATCCTTCCTTGTTCACATGAGTTCAACACAGTACCATCCTTTGCAGCTTAAACTTGGAAGCTAAGGCAAGGTTCATTTAACTCCTAGAAACAATAATCCAGAATGCTTTAAGGCACACTGGATTTTCCCTGGTATTGCCCATTTCCTCCCCCTTAAAAACAACAATCGCACACAGTTTTGTTGAAGTAGTAAAAATTGTATTTACTTAAATAACCTCGGTCTTGAAGAAACACTTAACAGTAGCAAAATGAAGGCACGTTTATAACCACTGTTACAAAAGTACAAAATGTGATTTCAAATATGGTGAATGGGCTGCAGAGCTCAGACATGCACATGCAGTCAGCTTGGAAGCATGATGAAGAAAGAGGAGGCTGCCCAGATCAGCAGGATGTATGGAGGGTTACCGCTTACTGCCAAAGCAGACAAAGGAAGTGATCTTACAGAGAGCTCTCTGGCAAATTTTACAGGAAAGCTCTGTGAGCCTCAGCCCCGTCATGTGCCCATCTGGCAAAACATGACTTGTTGGTTTGATTGCAATGATGTCCTACATCCAGAACTGGAGTGCTGAGCAGGGCCTTGACCCCCAAGCAAGTTGGCGAGCCTAAAGCTCTTTCCATGCCAGGTCTGCTTGGGACCTGATTGGCATTTTGTTTGGTTGTTTCCTTGGCAAATGTAGCTCACATCCTCTGCATTTTATCCTCACAGCAACCTTGTGAGGCAAAGAAGCAGTGACTTGCTAGCAAGTGAGCTTCATGGCTGGCTGGTAATTTGACACACTAAACCCCTCTAAACCCACACTTGCCAAAGTTACCACTGTGATATATGTAGAAACTGCTTTCAGCTGCCAAGGCAAACGTGGAATAGGCCTTTGCATTTAGGTCTGGCCAGGCATCTGAAACTCATTAGCAATGGTGCCTGCCTAACTTCTTTTGGGAGGCAGTTCCACAGGCTAGGGCCCACAATACTGAAAGCACAACTCCTCACTGACAGGAATTCTGCTTCTGGCTGATAGAGAACCACTAATAGTGCTTCTCACCCCACCCCAAATAATGGTAGTGATAAACTTAGGATTGTACATGGTCTACGTTACTCTGGGTACAAGTACCTTGAAACTGGCCCAGCAGCAGATGGGAAGCCAGTGCAGGTCTTTTCAACTCCAGCATCATATGGTGGTGGTGGTAGTCTGTGGGTTACCAAAGCCTCCTTGAGAAATTAGCACTCTGGTTTTATTCAACGCAGGCAGGAACGTGCTGAGTAGTCCCAGCCTCCCTAGCCTTTGTGGGAAGAGCAGAGAGGTCCTCTGTGGTCATGGGAGTCTTCACATGCCAGAAGGCATCCATCCACAGGACATCCTACACGACTGGGATTCTGGGTCACAAGCAAGCTTTCGCAGGTTCAGCCATATGCACAAAGACACAGGTGGTAGAGGCAAGCGAGAGCTGCTTATCGTGTGCATCTTGCCATGAGAGACGTACTTAACACAAAATTCTGCACTCTAAAGAGCAAAGATTTTCTCTTGCTATCAAGCTACCCATTATGCTAAATTGAGACAGCTAATGTAATCAAATGCAGCTAATTTTTAAAATGCTCCGTCAAGCCAATCTAGATCCTGATTATAAATGCTCGCCTGCCTTAAATTGAGGGGAGGTGGGGGTTGAATTTTTCTCCATGTGACTCATCTACTGCTGTTGTAACATTTTTATAGGATCTAAAAGTTTTGTTCCGATGCGTCAGTTCTCTTAATACAAAAGCCCTGACTATGTTTTGCTCCCGCTTGATGCAGAGTCACTTCCATCGCTGACAGACTGAATGTCGAGTTTGCCCTGATCCACAAAGAGAGGAAGAAAGCCAACGAAGTGGACCGGATGGTCTTGGTTGGGGATGTGAGCAACCGCGTAGCCATTCTTGTAGACGACATGGCAGACACATGTGGCACAATATGTCACGCTGCGGACAAGTGAGTAAAAAACTGAGGCAGACCTTCATGATGAAGAGAATCGGGTAGCAGCAGAGGTTTCTTTGGGGTGGGGAGGGGATGGGTTTCATTTTAGTTCAGAAAAAGAGATCTTGCCCACACAAAACATTGGTTTCTCTGCCTGCTACGACTTAAGTATGTTTTTATGGGTAGCTTCAGTCTTAATTGAAATACACCGTTTTAGGAAATAGCCTGTTAATTTACTCCCCTGAGCCTACCTAGCTATATAGATGAACTTTGTAGTCAAGTCTTCATTTATAACTGTGCAGGATCATTGCATAGTAGGGCAGGGTGATAACTGGTTTTCAACATTGTGATATGTTGGCAGCTAAACACCACGATATGCTGGGAGGAAGAAGCAGCCAAGATAAGTGAGCAAGCCCCAAAGCCTCTGGGGCTCATGCAGGCAGGAGGGGCATCGGGGCTTCCTGCCTTCACCCAAGCAAGCAGGCTGTCTTTTTCCTTCTGGGGCGGTCAGTCGCTCCAGGAGGAAAGAGGCAGCCCTCCGTCCTCGGTGAAGGCAGGCAGACGACAGGTGTGTAGTGTTTGGGGGAGCCACTGGGACAATTGCCGGGGGCGCCCTGCACTGCTTTGTGAGACCTTGCAAAGCCACTCAGGGCTATTGCCCCTCTGGCAGCTGGGCAGGTCCTCCGCCCCTGGCACGGGTCCAGCCATGTGCACACCTGCACCTTGGAGACAAGCTCCGCCACTGGTGCATGGAGCCTGAGAAGCACTTTCTCAGGCTCTGTGCGTCTGTCTGCATTTGTCCAAGTGGGTAATTACTCTTGTCGTTTCCTGAAACTTGCACTCTAGATTTGTGCCAACATTCATACATCTCCCGTTCTCTCCCTTCCTATGTTTTATAGATTAGTGTCTGCAGGAGCAACTAAGGTTTATGCTATTCTCACTCATGGGATCTTCTCTGGCCCTGCTATTTCGCGGATCAATAATGCTGCCTTCGAAGCAGTCGTCGTCACCAACACGATCCCACAGGAAGAAAAAATGAAGCATTGTCCCAAGATTCAGGTATGGTGCGCTGATTTACAGCAGCAGCTCATCTTTTTAAGCTTTATATAGCAGTTTTATAAGCCACGTTAAGGGGATAAAAATGGTTATGTGCCTGGGGACACCCCCCAAGAGAGATCTTTTTTGAGGGGGGTGCAATGAGCTGCTTCCTCATCAAGGCCAGATTTGCAGAGAGGGATGTTGCACTCAAGTCTGGCTCTGGTGCGCAAGGCAGCTTCATTGCACAATGGTCCAATGCTGCCAGCCCATGACAGCATCACAGCCTCCTAGGCCTGGGCAATATATGATGTCGGCTTCACTTTGCTGCTCCTGAGTCCCTCTGCTACCAGCGTGCCAAGGCAGAGCAAGCTGCATCCAGGCAGGGGGGACTCAGTGAAGCCGCCCTCATACCGGTGCAGAGGGAGCAACATGCTGCACCAATGAGGCACAAAACAGCTTGTTCCTCCCTCCACTTCTTCAAACTGCTTGGCTGAGGAGTGTGCCCCTGCCCTTGCCTCAGCCAAGCAGTTTTACGGAGTCCCTGACTCCCATGAGCCAGCAGTGCAATGAGGTCTCTGTTAAACTGCTCCCCAGTTGGGAGAGTCCCAATCCTTCTGCTTGCAAATGAGCAGGAGGAGGATTGGGGCTGCGCAGGTGGGGGCTTCATGCCCTCCCTGGAGAAAGGTAGCTTGCCCGTGCAAGGCGGAGGCAGCTTTCCAAATGGAGCCTGAGAGGCTCCATATACTTGGCTGCTGCTACCTGGGAGGGTAGGCTATGTCTGCACACAAGCTGGAGGAGCGGGAGCCTTTGCACCCGCCAGCTGAGTAGTGCAATGTCGCTCTGCCCCCCCCCCCCCGCACTGGGAAGAAGCTGTGTCATCCCCAGCAGCGGCTGGGGGCAATGCAGCTTGTTGTTTCAGCAGCACCAGACTACGATGTTGAAAAGCTGATGCCACACGGGGCTGGGCCAGTGAGGCTGCAGCAGGCTCCCTCCACCCCCTGCCCCTGTATAAATCCTAAGACTTTTGAGAGAGATCTATGGTCAATTCTACATTCTGAATACATATCAAACATGCTAAATCAGGTCCTAATTGATTTATGGCTTGTACCAGGCATCCGTGGTGGCTACCTAACCTCAGTTAAAAGTCCCTGCGGTGCCTTATTTGGGAAATGGTTCCTTAGAACACACTTTACAGCCCCCAGCATCCTTGCACATTTCTTTCTTTTGGGGTTTATTAAATAAAGTGCATCCTGCGTACTTGGTACTTGTCTCATGTGCACCGTGCAGCAGCAGCAGCTGGGGCACAGGTGTTCACGGAGGCTAAACAAAACCCACTGCGCCAGCCGAACCCTATCACTGGGTAGAGTCCAGCAGGGAGCCTGGCTGGCTGACACAGCCTTTGGTGGGCACATCTGGCTCTATGCCCCCATCCCACACTGCACCCCTACCTTGCAGAACAACACAAAACAAGTCTGGTCAGTGCATGGCTAACACAACATGAGAAATAAATTATAAAAATTAATACTACAGGCCTTGGAGGGAAACCATTGTAAATATCAGTTCTCACTGCCCTCCAGTGGCAACAACTCTCATTGCCGTTATGCACAGTTTCTGTCTCATACCGCCCAGCCCTACTGATGACGCGTGGGTAAGTCACAATGTTGAAAAACAGATATCAGCAGCTAAATATGCTGATATATAAACACAATGTCTGTAATGTATCTCTGCTGCTTCTGCCTCCCCACCTTAGGAGAGGAAGAAGCAGCCAAGATACATTGCCCAGCCCTGAGGAAGCCCCCGTACTGCTCTGGCTCATGCAAGCTGCAGGGGCTTTCTTAAACTGCTCAGCTGGGGGCAGGAAGCCTCCTGCCCCTTGGCTGAGCAAGCCCAGATAGCACTCCAGCTCACAGAGTGGTGCTTGCGCCTTCTCAGGTGCAATGAATTGCCTGCTCAAGTTGTCTGAAACTGGTATTGCGATATGAAGCCCACATCTCTCAGACAATTTTTCCACCAGCTCTAGTCATCAGTCTGCAGAATGGCTGTTTTTGGAGTCTTGGGAAATGTGAAATGTAAAACTTAATCAAGATGTTCCAGCATATCTGCAGGGTCTTATGAATAGAGCTTGTACAACAACAAGTGATTGGCAACTTTCCTCCTCCTCCACCCCCCCACCCCCGCCCAATAGACAATTGAGGTTTTGAATGAGACTCACTTTGGCATGTCTGGATAACAAAGGAAGCCACTATCTTTTCCTTGTAGGTTATTGATATTTCTATGATTTTGGCTGAGGCGATCCGAAGAACACACAACGGCGAATCTGTGTCGTACCTGTTCAGCCACGTCCCACTATAACTGCAAACCAGCTTGGGCATGCTGCATTCGGAGTGGGGGGGTGGGGGGTGGGACACGCACATCAGATAATGCAGCTCATGATGAAGATAACAAATGTCTACGAAAAGCTTCAGCTCAACCACACCTACGTTCCCTCTTTTAATATGGACAATAACTAAACCGGGCAAATATGTGTATTATTTTTGCTTACAACTTTTTATAAATTCTCTTTGGGTTTTTAAAAGAGAAAACTATGCTTTTTGCCTGTGATTTATTAAGATGTGCATATATCATATGGGAAAACAGTGAAGACAGTATTTTTGCTAAGGCCAAAAGTTAACTCGGGGTTGGTAACCTGAGAGGCATGCACTTGCTGAGAGTTAACTGTGCCACACTTAGAACAGAAACTTGTAGTCATTTACAGATTTAGATTAAATGGCCTGTGAAATTCCCTTCTGACAAAATCAGTGTCTATCTTAAGCTTGCAGATCGTTTGTGGTCAGGTAATAATTTTTGGCACCTCTTAAAGTGCCCCTGGCATAATGATGAACTTAGGCTGCCCTCTCATCCTGCGAAATCACTGCGCCAAAATGCTTCTAAACAGCTGTGACCTGGGATAGCATAGTACAGTGCTTCATGGATTGCTGAGTTAGGGCTGCACTTGCAGCCATAGGAAACTGCCTTATTAGTCCATCCCACTCTGCATTGTCTAGACTTGACTGGCAGTATGATAGCCAGGGTTTCAGACGGGGCATTGCCAGTCCTACCTGGAATTTCTGCTTGCAGAACTACTGCTCCTCTAAGCCATGACCTTTCCCCCTCTTTGTGTCTTGGCCAATGAGGGACCTCAATCTGGAGGAGCATCACATGCTTGAGCAAAGAATATGCAGTTCTTTCAAAATGCACCCTTCTACCCTGCACTATTACACAATCTGTAATAAACTCTTACTTCCCAGTGCCAGCACTTTATTTAGTGCCTGGCACTTCAGAATACTTGAGCCGAACCGTAATGCAATGTATCAACTCTACAATTTTATTATTCTTATCCTGGGGGGAAAAATACTTGTAAAACTTTGTTTTATTCTTGCCCTTCTGTACTGGGGGCCCTTCCCATGTTAATTTTGTGACATGAGAGCTGTTGCAGTACAGCTGCCTTCAGCACCACAAACCCCAATATCATGAGTAGCGCCTTGAAAAACTTGGGGCAATGCTGACAGGGGAAGGAGCTTCGATTATGGAGCTCCCATCTGACATTACCTGAGTGGTGTGGGCAGCTTCTGTGCTGTGAAGGGGCCCTGAGTCTCTAATTCCCAGCTAACATTTCATTTTCAGTGCTAGCCTATGTTATAAAAGGGACCAATCCTAAACCCTCACAATAATCCTCACTCAAACTCCTAATAGTGGTTGTGCATTAGGGAAGTCCGTTTGAAAAGTACAAACATGAGCTTCCTTTTCTTCCGGTAATCAGTTGTCCATTTATTATGCAGAAAGCAAAAAGAAAGGCATTTAAAAACATCTGCCTTGCCTCATTTTCCTTGTATAAAATAACATTTGGTGTGGTTTTTTGCTTTTCTTTCCAAAACCAAGATTCCCACAAGACCACGTGTACTCTCCCATCTGCAGGGGAACTGAAACAATCGTGTACAAAACTTGGTTGTCCAAATTTCGAACAGTTAAACAGTTTCAGAAACTGATTGCTAAAAGTTTATAAAGACAGATGCCTATCTTGGCGTTTCTCATAACACGGAGCCAAATATATGTGAATGAAGTAAGTGGCAAATAGTAGCATTTAATGGATACAAGTTGCATCCAGGATCACACAATCCCTTTTTAAACCATAACTGGTGGTCTTGTTCCATAGCCCCAAAAAAGGGACAATGATGAAAATCTGTATGGAATTTTAAAATGACTTCCACTTTCTTAAACATTCACATATATTTCTTCTGTAATGATTTTTGCAATAAGAGAACAGAAAAGACTTAAAAGTGTGTAAAGTTTAAACCAAAAAGCATTTTCAGTCTACATCTGCTTAACTTGCTTTGGATGTAAAGTCTTGGTAATTTTTTTGTCACTTATCTTGCCAAAGAATGTTTGATTCCTTAGTTCTTTGTATTGTTTCTGCAGTCTCTCTCTTTATCCACCAATACCAAAGCTGGAATAAATGAAACCCATTTTCTTTCAATATCTGATAAGTTATAGATTGGGTTTGTTTCAAATGACATCAGGAAAGGTTTGTGTTTCAAGTTTCTCAATAAATCTCAGAACAGCATTATACTTACTGACTGTTAGTTATGTTTGGCTCTCTTATTTCATTCAGGAGCAGCAAATAATGCAAACCTAAATGGATATAAATAGACACATTCACATTCTAAGCGACTCTGGTCACAGAAACAGATACAAAAACATTATCAAAAGCATGTTCAAGAAGGATAGTGACAAGCTGGAATGTGTGCAGTGGATGTCAACCAACGTGATCAAGGGTCTGGAAACGAAGCCTTATGAGGAATGGTTGAGCGAATTGGGTATGTTTAGCCTGGAAAACAGCTGATAGCCATCTTCAAATGGAAGATGGTGCAAGCTTGTCTTCTCCTGCTCAGGAGGGTAGGACCCGAATCAATGGATTCAAGTTACAAGAAAGGAGATTCCAACTGAACATTAGAAAGAACTTTCTGACAAGCTGATTGACAGCAAAATGGATGACCTCAGAAGGTGGTGGACTCTCCTTTCTTGGAGGTTTTTAAGCAGAGGTTGGATGGTCATCTGTCGGATTCTTTAGCTGAGATTCCTTCATTGTAGGGGGATTGGAGTAGATGGCCCTTGGATACCTTCCAACTCTAAACTTCTGTCTGAAACCAGGCACTGGGTGCTTTGTGGTATCTTACCTGAACACCTTGCTTTGCACACCTTGCATGCTAAATATAAACTGGATTGTGCAAACCACACTGTGTGGCTACAAGCACAAAAACAGTTTTGCTAACTGAAAAGTACTTGTCTATCGGATGAGTAAACTCAGGGGGTTTTGCATGGGATGTTTCTCATTCTGAGATTTGATTGAGTTTAAACATCTGGTTTACTTTTTATTTTTGAATGCATTTTCTTGTGCTGACATGCCAGAGAGCAGATGCACATATTTGAAATGTGGCAATACTGTTAAGCATGGTCAAGCAGTCTGAATATACAGCACACATGCGCACAATGATGCAAGTCAACCCATTATTTCTGAATTAATATAAGAAGTAGTTCTGAGTTGTTATCTGTGAGAGGTAAGAAATCTCTACACAGCATTCTCATGGAACTGACATGCATTTCCTAACCAGCTGTCCCATGCCATTCCCATGCCTGCAAATATTTTGACAACCTAGTGCACACGAGTCATATGGCACAGACAGTTTAGGCATGTTACAAGGCAAATCCTTTGCAAATTCAGTTCAACAAGGGGCTTAACTAGTTTTGCTCAGTTTGCACTGTAGAACAGCACCCGCTGGTAAAATAACAGATACTTCTAAAATTTGGTGGGTGAGGAGGGCAAACCAGAGATAGACAGACTCACTTTTCCAATGCCCTGCTGGGCTGGCACTGACAAAAGTGAGACTGGAGAGATTATGGTTTATAGGCTGTGGAACAAACCTCTGTTACAGCTTGTGGTTTCTGTGAGACAAACTATAAGCCATGGTTCAACTTTACTGAGCTAAGCTGAGCTGTGGCTCCAGCCTATTAAATATTTTCCAGGACAGCAATGCCTACTCACACTATAAAGAGCTCATAACTCTCAGCAGCCAGAAGCATCATAGCTAGACATTGGAGATACCTGTCAGGAGTGAACATGGACTACTGGTATCAAATTGTATGGGAAACAGTCTTACTAGAAAAGCTAACCAACAAACAAACTGAAACTGACACGGACAAATAATAGAGGACGCCTTCACCCCGTATGGCCTACCCTTTGTTACACGCATGGTGCAACACGGACCCAAATCTCAATGCAGTCAACTAAAGGCAACCAACCACGCCCTGAGCTCCCTCACTGCCAATGAAAACTAGTCAATGACTAGAAAGAAAACCTACCCAAGTGATACTGGGGGGGGGGGGATACCGCACACATACACTAAGTACTAAAAGAATTTAAGTTTACCACCGCCCTCTCTCCCTACTTTTCTTCTTCCCCAACCTTATAATGTATACAATTTTCACGTCTCACACTGAATCTGTAGAAAAGACCCTATGACCTGAAAACAGAGGCAATGCACGTACTTTTGTAACCCTAGAAAATCTTTAATAAAAGCTATTTCTGAAAGAAATCTGCTGGGGTCAGCACACTTGTACGCTCACACCAGGCCATTGTTTGAATTCGTACTGTGCACAAACCATCTCAGTAAGTTTGAACTTGGAGCTACTGCTCGTTTTAACTATGGTCTGCATTCTGCTGTCAGCCAATTATCAAAAGCCCTTTGCAACTAGTAAGCCTAGTTTTAGCTCTAGTCCCTCCCACTGCTGGCAGATTAAGTGGCAAAGTGGGCAGATAAGGGCAGATAAGGACTAAGAATGGCTGAAGAAGAAAAATGGTGCCAGAAAGAAGTAGCAGCACTGTTTGTTGCCCTGGGCTTCTTTGGGAAGAGGGGTGGGATATAATTTCGTCACCATTATTTATTTCATAGGTATTATCTCAGAAGGCTGCCCTTCTCCCAGCCTCAGAACTTAGACAGTTGTTGCAATTCAGACCTGTGGTCTATGGAGAAAGTTTTACCTTTAATGGAGTATTTCCTCAGTATCATAAATATCTTAAGATGATCTATTATTGATGTCCACTGTATTCCTCCTCAAGTCGGCACATGATTATGTAAGAAACACTATTTACAGGTTTTCATACAAGAGGTGTCACACCTGCATGACTATCACACGGAAAGAAAGCCTAGCTTGTAAATGTCTCTACAACTTAAGTTTCATTTCACTGAGAACTGAAACTGTAACAATGTTTGCTAGCTGCTCTAAACACAGGAGGGGGGAAGGGGAGGAATAAAATATTGGCAAGCATGTGAAAGGAAAGAAGACTTGGCAGCTGAGATCTCCCTAGGTTTGGGTGGGATTGTTGTTGTTATTAATAAATTTATTATTATTATTGTCAGAGCTGCTTCCAGATCCTAGCTCACAGAGGATCACGCTAGCCAGCGATCATTAAACAAAAGTCTTTATTGAGTTACAGTTTCCATTCTCAAACTGCTGCGTGCAACTCTACGTCTCATGGTTGGACCGGCGAAGCTCCGTCTGAGTCTCCGCCCTTGTACACCAACTTAATATCCTAGCCCTGCTCCACCTTTTCCGCCTGACTGTTCTTCTCTGGGTCCCTCTGCCCCCTGGGGTCTCTTCTTTCCGGGATTCCTCTGGCGCTGGCGCTGGCGCTGACCCCCCTGACTCTTCTCCCTCCTTTCGGCGGGCTTTAGGACCTGGCTCCCTTTCCGGGCTGCCTACTGTGCCACCTTCCTGTGCATTTGAACTTGGCGCGCGCGCCCAACCTTCCACCTTCCGTCTGACCGTTTCTTCGCTCCCCGATGGAGGTGTGGCCACTCCTGACTCGTGCCCTCCCCCCTGTTGTGAGCTGCCAGCGCTTGATCCCTGGTTCCCTTCCTCTTCCCTGCTCTCTGGCGGTGGGGCGGGTCCCGATTTCCAACTGCTCCCCTCTGAGTCCCCTCTGGCTCTATCTTCCTGGGGCGTCCCCTAGGCTCCCCCTTGCCCTGGCCACTGGTGCTCCTTTCTGTGAATCTTCTGATTCACTGGAAAGACTCGGAGATCTCGGGTCGTCGTCATCACTCATCTTTTCTTCTGCCTCCTCCCCCTCGCTCTCTGTTTCCTCCCTTGCCCTTGCCTCTGCTCCTGAACCCCTGACAATTATTATTATTATTATTATTATTATTATTATTATTATTATAGTTAGTGATTGGCAGTATCAAACACTGGCCAAAATCCAATAGCACAGATTTTATCCACAAGCATTGAAATACTACTTTGATGCTTGATTCAGGGACAAAAGGATTAGGGGGCAAGATGGATCGGTCATCCAGTTACACATCGTTTTGTATAAAATTTGCCTAGGCTAATTGCTCTGAATCTGAAGTTATCTGAAGTAATTGAGGAATCTGAATCGGCTCTGAAGTTATCATTTTTCAACCATATGACACAGCGGAGATTATTCATCAACTAAATCTTACTCAGAGTGTTATTGTTTAGTCGTGTCCGACTCTTCGTGACCCCATGGGCCAGAGCACGCCAGGCACTTCGGTCTTCTTACTCAGAGTAGTTCTGCTGAAATTAAGGGACCTAACTTAGCCACATACATTAACTTCAATGGATCTACTCAGAATAAAAGTTAGCAGCTGAACACCTCTCAGTACGATTTATATTCATATTACCTATGTTTTATAAGCAGGCAAAAAAACCCCTGTGGCCTAGATCTCAGTGAAATCATAAACCTGTGTCTGGGTTGTACCACTTCAGCCTGTACATGGGGGGGATGTAGAACTGTATGCTCCTCACTCAGCACAATGCAGTTATGATCTAGATGTCAGTGGGGACGGTTCTAGCCTATCCATTTCCCTCCCATGCTGGAGTTTTTATTATTATTATTATTTATTATTCTTACATATGGAAGAACATTTGAGCTTCGTCTCAACCTGCATTCTGAAGCAGCACAGCCCAGGTACACTTTCATTGCAATGGCAGGTTCATACTTTGAAGACAGTGTAGGATATATTTTTTTTAAGAACCAAAAAACCCAAACAAACAAAAAAAACCCCAATTCCCCACACTATTTTTACCTTTGAGGAAGCGAGCATTGGTGACAGCTGCCTCACATACTATTAATTTAGCAAGTTGTCTCCTGGCGAGAAACGAAAAAAGTACCCAAGTAGGTGACAGAATCATTCGATTGGTGAATTCTCGTGCTCTCTCCCTGTATTTTGTACCTGACCTGAAGTTGGAAGGGCTTATTTCATTGTTCTCTCCATCTAACACAGCACTCCTCAAAATCCTTCATAGAATGGTAAGTTCAATTTTTAACTGTATTCTTGAAAGCATTTGTATCTGGAAGCAACTCTTGAGTGCAATAAGTATTTTTGAGAATTGTATCCTTTTCTTCTGTATTTGTCTCCATTCCCATCTGCTACGTTCTGTTAAGGTGTGTATTTTATAAACATATAATGAGTACTATTGATCTTTAAAACAGGAAGTTAACATATAGGTTAGTTGGTTTGGGAAAAATGACTCTCCAACCCAATGTTTAGGGACCAGCAAACTTCAGAGGCTAAACCTCACATTTATCTCTGGAGAAAAGTGACATACCTTTGAACTCCGTAGTAAATGAGGATAACAGCCTTAGTCTCACCTAGATACCAAAAGGGGTCAAGTGATGAGTTGTTAGTGTTGTGTGGCTTTATTATAACTTGTGACTCAGTCAGCTGGAACTGGGTAAAAAGAGTGAGACAGATACAAACCTTGCAAGAAAACGGACCTGTTGGATTGGTCTCTAAGCCCAAAACTTTGCTAGTTTGATGGTCTACAATAGGCACAGGCAAACTCAGCCCTCCAGATGTTTTGGGACTACAACTTCCATCCCAAGCTAACAGGACCAGTGGTCAGGGATGATGGGAGTTGTAGTCCCAAAACATCTGGAGGGCCAATGCCTGGTCTACAAAATATTGTCGCTGCAGCTGGCTTTATCTTACTGACATGGCTGCTTCTATTATAAAATGGAAGGGGCAATAAAATCACCCTACTACAGGGATGAGGAACCAGTCACATCTGGTTGGCCACTGCGAGTGCCGAATGATGGACTAGATGGGCCATTGGTCTGATCTAGCAGGCTCTTCTTATGTCTTTAGTACAGGTAGGTAGCCGTGCTGGTCTGCCGTAGTCGAAACAAAATAAAAAAAATCCTTCCAGTAGCACCTTAGAGACCAACTATGTTTGTTATTGGTATGAGCTTTCATGTGATATCTGAAGAAGTGTGCATGCACACGAAAGC